CGGTCGGCCGTATGGAAATCACTGGGGAGGAAGCATTTAACCGCGATATTTTTAACCGTTATCGTCTGGCGTTCGTCGCGAGCCATCGAGACGAAAAATTTGACTAGGTGGCAGATACGCAACTTTTAATGCTCACGACGGGGGAGAATGGACCAGGGGGAGGGGGAGGGGTACGTGTACGTATCTCGTCGGGGGTTAAAAATAACTAAGACACGTGTAATATGCTCTTCCACTGTTTGGCGGCTAGAAATACATACACACAGTCGTGCAGCCGCGCCGACGAGGCACCCAGCCCTCGCTTTTTTCTTTCTCTCTTTCTCTCCTTTCCTCTTTTCTCCTAAACTTTCTCGTGCGGTTTATTCATCCGCGAGTAAATATCGAGCCCTCTGTATTAACGGCCGTATATATAGAAACTATATATCGGGTGTCTCGGGACCGTCCAGGAGAAGTGTGCTTTCAACGTTAGAAAATAGGGACGGGAGAAGTGGCGACTCTTAAAGCCATTAAGAAGGGTCCCCGGAGTCACTGAGTATCGGAGGATTGAAAAAAAAGTATCGGCAAAACGAGAAAGTACAAGATATTTTTTTACTGACAGACAATTGCTATTTTTCGCGGGGGAGAGCAAACAACTTAAATTATTCTTCAGTCGGCCTTTTCAATCGGGCGTTAACACGTCCGACAGTTTACGGCATGTACGTCGTGAAACCCATCATTTTTTTTTGTTCTCTCGAGGCATTTCGTGGCATTGAACGCGCGCCGCGCGCGCTGATTCGTCTCCAAAAAATGGAGACTTTCGGGAGTCGCGAGTTGGCGTCGTTTCACGACGTGCCTGATGCTTCGCGGTGCATCCGCGCCTCTGTGGCAGCGTGTGTTACAAATAATAGTCACAACTTGGCGGACGATATAAACGTTATTCGACTTATTTATAACCGTTAGATATGTCATACGGTTCGTATATATTTTTAACCAGTTCACAGCCCGATAACCGGAAAGGGATTGCCAAGTGTGTTATTTATAATCCGCGGCCAGAGAGACTGCGAGGAGAACAATTCGCGGTAGGTACGTGAAAATCTCCCCATCGAGAAACGGACGAGCCGTCTATCACCGGCGAGTATATATATATGTGGTGTACGCACGAGAAGGAGATATGCACCCGAAATACGCACTTCGCGAGCGGAGAATAGAAGAGCGTGTGAATTATTAACCGGCTTCCCGATAACACACGCATTAGCCCTCGCGCTTCTGGATCGGGGAATATGCGCGCGGCCCACGCGCGTCATGTACTTACGGCGAAAGATATGGTAAACCGCTGGACTTTAACGCGGGAACATGTACACAAATTAATATCGACTCTCTTTCTCTCTTTACGTAAGCAAAGATAATAATAACAATTTATATTCAGCGAAATGCGAATAATCCGTATTATTTCTAGTATTAAGGTACAGCGCAGTCAATATCGACTGAAATATTAAGTGAAAAAATATCGAGTAATCGAGCGAGCTCGAAGGGAATGATGATCGGCTCTCCCAAATGAAGGAAGCGTCCAGCTATCGATTAATCGATCAAAAAGACGGCCCCGTCGTCCCTTCTCCCGCGGTCGCCTCCACGAGGCGCGTGTCTGACAACGACCGTCTATTTCTACTTGCAGCGCGGCTCGGCTCGGCTTTCCTATCTCCCGGGAACGAGGCATGAGCCCCGCGGGTTTTAGAGTCTTGCGCCGCAATTCTACATCCTATAAACAACCGCCGGGTATAACACTTGACGGTAGTCGTTATCCCGGCGATGTTATTAACCCTTAATCGGTCTCGGTGTATCTTGGCATACGTCCCAGGCAAAAATCATTTTCAACCCGCGCTCTCTTTCCTCGTGACAGTTTGGCAGTAAACCGCACCGCGGGAAGTTTATCCTGCCTAATTTCGCGGCCTCGTGATTCTATTTTAATTAAAAAAATATATATAATTTCTATGTATATTATTAAAGAACATCGAGACAACAAGCGTAAGAAACGTGTTCTAATGCACGAGATTGCATATCGTGTAGATATTATTTCGCGAAAAATCAATTTCTATTCTTGTATTTTTCTTCAAGATATTCCGTGCAAGATAGCGTCAATGTTAACATTAGCCGGGAGTTCTAGAAAAGTTTAATACTAGCCGACTGTGGGTATGAATCAGTATTTCTGTAGCTCACAAACTTTCCGCGCCCTAATATGTAAATTTATTACTCTTTTACAAATAATGCCGTATTTCCAGCGTCATGAGACCCAAGAGAACGAGAGAGAGAGAGAGAGAGATCAAGGAATAAGAGAGGAGAGGAGATAGAGAGAAAGAGAGAGAAAATTCTCCCCCTGCCTTTGCTTTCTCTCGTGTCACCTGTCCGCAGCCATTTATATTTCCACCAGGCCATCATCCATCATTATACGAGTGTCAAAATTCTGCTTGACAGGACCCAAGAGATCCATTTCGCCAAAAATGCCAGGCGCGCGCGTTACCTACAGGCGCGTTACATCTCGGAACTCGCGCTCGGTTGTGGTGTATTCAAGTTTCATCAACAGCGGGACGTACGGTAATCCGCCAAACATTTTGATGCCCCGCGACGGGCGGAAAAATAAACGGCTGCGGCCCGCGACTCCGGCGTTAATACGCCGCGTTTCTAGGCCAAATCGCCGCGCCGCGGACGAGGAAGACGGGAGAGAAGACGCGCGCGTTGTGGTCGGACGGTTGCGGAGAGCGGTTCAATACCAAATTCCGACCGTCGTCGGCAGCACCAAAATAACTCTTAACAGCCTCCCTATTCAGCATTTCCTATCCGGCACGAACGCACTTTTCCCCGTTCCCCATCGACACCGTCATCGTTTCTTCGTCAAGTCGTCGCGGTTGTCGTCGTCGTCGTCGTCGTCGTCGTCGTCGTCGTCGTCGTCGTCGTCATCGTCACGCGCGCGAGGTTCGCACGTGCGTAATTATTAGCGACCCTCTATCGATTCGTTTCGGGCCGGTTTCGTCGTAACGTGCGAGCAAACGAGCGGGCCGAACGAGCGAGCGGACGAGCGGCTGTCAAAGGTTGGGTATATTTCCTCGGCAAGTGAGTCTAGGTCACCCGTATATCGGGTCGATACCACGAAAGCGGGACAAAGGCGAGTCTTCGACTGTGCCTCACGCGTATTACAGTCGGAGCTGACCAGAAGCTGATGGTGCAGGGTTCGCGCCGCACGGCGAGCGGCAAAAAAAAAAGCTCGACTCTCCGTTCTCATCTTGCTCTTTCCGGGAGAGAGGAAGAACGGGGGGAACGGAGGGGAGGGACAGGGCAGAGAAGCCACCCTCGAGAGACCTCGCACCCTCGCGGTGTGGGATCTATGCCACCGGAAGCCTGCAAGAGTGAGACCTTTTATAGCGCATGCACGCGACGCGAAGGCGTGGAGAACCGATCGCGCCCACGTGAGACACGCGATACACGCGTGTAAATTAGCCAACGTCGGCGAGGTCAGTCCCTTTCGCGAAATCGAGGACTTTGCGTACGGAGGCCGATCCCTCTGCGGATCGTCGAGCGTCCGCTCGACTCGAACGAACTTTAGTGAATTTCGAATCGAGAGGAGATATCGATGTTACTGCACGCTTCCTAATTGTAAAACCGCGAATGGAAAATTTCTAAAACATAGCGTATCGATTAACTTTCTCTCTCTCTCTCTCTCTCTCTCTCTCTCTCTCTCTCTCTCTCTCTTTTAGTACTATAGTCAGCGTTCACGTTTGCGCCGCGTGACCAGTCGAGGTTTCGGAAGGTTTCGGAGGCGTAAGAGTACTCCGCCGTCCGTCACTCGTCGCACGGACATGGGAAGATTGGGATCGCGAGCGATTGGGTATCCGAGCTTATAGACGACATTACACACGCTGAGGAAAATAACGCGACTAGACGACAGTCAGGACACGGATGAGGAGACGGGGTCATCGCGATGAGCGCGGCGAACGAATTTTTGCGCGAGTCGCGAACTCGGGAAGTCGCCAGCGGCGTGTCTCGTGGCGGCCGCACACACGACCGGTTTACATCCCTAATCGAAAGTCGGTTTTCCCCGACAATGCGCCTGCCCGATCCCGGGGCACGCGTCATGCAGGAGACTCTTTCTCTCTCCCTCTTTCTCTCTCTCTGTCTGTCTCTCACTCCCTCTCAGGGTCCGCTGGCAGGTCTGCTGGCACTCCCGAAATAATGTTCGGAAGAACGGTACAACGCAGAGGAGAGGAACAGCGAGGTAGCGGACGAGCGGGGAGAGAGAAACGAGCGCCGAGGGGAGCAGACGGTGATATCCAGAGGAGGAAGATGAGAAAAGAGAGCGGAACAAGAAACGCCCGGATCGAGCGCGTTACATAATTTTCGTAACTCCACGGAGAAGCGGAGAGGGCGATGTGAGGCTGGTGGGGATGGGGAGTGGACGATGGTCTACGACGACGAGGAACTGCTCCGAGGTGCTCCGTGCGAGAGCGAGAGAAAGACAGAGAGAGAGAGAGGGTGGAAAGAGAGAAAGAGAAAGAAACGGAGCGAGAAGGGTACATGTGCGCATGTATGCGAGTGTACGTGTGCGCGAATAAGTAAATGGATGGATGGATAAATGGCACGGGAGAAGATATTAAAGAGGGGATAAGCGAGAAGCAAAGAGAAAGGAGGAGAAAGAAAAGAGTAAACACAGCTAAATAAAGAGATTGCGAGAAGAGAAACAAATATATTTAAATGGAAAGAAAACAAAAGAGAGAAAGAGAGAGAAAAGAGAGGGATGAGAGAGAATAGGGGGAGGTGGAAATAGTGGAGGCTCGTGTCCTGGTGGGCGGAATGGCGAATCAATCCTCGACGAGGGGAAGGGGCGCATGAGGGTGAAGAGGTAGTGGAGGAGGAGGAGGAAGAGAGGGATGATGATGAAGAAGAGAAGGAGGAGGTGAAGGCGGCGGCGGTGGCGGCAACGGCGGCAGAGGGGTGGGTGGGGGTGGTCGACGGCAGTGTGGCGACATACTACTCACCGTGGACGGTGGCAGCAAGATGTCTGCGAGGTGTCTCTTCTTCCTCGACGGTGGCAAGAGAGAGGAAAATCCGATGTCACATACGCCGCTTCATCGGGCCACTGTGCTGCTGCTTAATACCACTCCGCGCGGTGCTCTTCACCCGCCTTCTTCACCTTCTGCCACTAAAATAAACTCGCTCGCTGTACCGTGCGCTCCTCTGGCTGCCCCGCGCGCGCGCTCGCGAACACTCTCCCTCCCCTCACTCACGCACACTCACTCTCTCCCTCTCTCTCTTTCTCTCGTTCTCTCTCTCTCTCTCTCTCGTTCTCTCTTTCTTTCTTTCTCGCTCTCTCACTCTTTCTTTCGTTCTCGCTCGCGCCTCACGTCTTGTAACGCGACCGACACATTTATCCGCGCTTTCAGGCCGCTCTCTCGGACATTCTCGCGCACCTCTCGCGCTCCACGACCGACCAACCGCTCGATTCCCTAGAATCGAGGAGGTGGCACTGTGTCGCCACTCGCCGCCGCTTGTCGCCGCTGCCACCACCGCCACCGCCACCACCACCACCGCCGCCGCCGCCGCCGCCACCTCCACCGCTGGATGGCGACGGTGAGGACGGCGCCGATGGCGATTCGATGTACGGTCAGAGCAGGCAGCTATAGAGGAGATGTCGATCCGCCGGGATCATGACAGATCCTCCGGAGCGGCAGTGACGAGAAGCGGAGGGGCGAGCGCGAACGAGAGAAAAATCGGAGCACGCGGATCCGCGATGGAGAACCAGAACGAGAGAGGCGGCGGGAATGGCGCGATGCACGAGAGCGCGGCGAAGACAACCAGGAGACCGAGGGGACAACACGCACGCATGCACTCGCGACGGTGCGGTCGATTATTCCGTTTCGTATTCCGCGCGTAGGGGACGGATGGATTGACTGACTGACAGACGGACGCACGCACGCACGCACGCACGCCCGCCCGCCCGCACGCACGTTCTTACCCCCGAGAGGAGGGGTGCCACTGTCGTCGTACCGAGAGCGCGGGACTGTCGCGCTCGCGGCGCTCTTCAGTTCCTCGTGGTCTCGTCGGACCTTCCTCCCACCCTACTGATGGTATCGACTGCGCCGGCGGCAGCGGCAGCGACGGCGACGGCGACGACGCGACGATGTCGGTGGTTCTCGGCGGCGACGGCGACGGCGACGACGACGGCGGCGGCAGCGGTGCGGGGCGGCCTTTTCTCCTTGATGCCTCTTTTCATATAGGCAAGGCCGCAGCACCGATTACCGCTACCTGATAGCTCACGATCACGGTGTTGGTAGCGCGCGTTACCGCTGGTAGCGACCGGCGTACCGCGACGACGGCATCCGCGCATCGACGACGACGATGGATGACGACGCGCGGAGGAGAGACGGGGGGGAGAGAGAAAGAGAGACGAGGAGGACGAGGACGACACGACTACACCGCGCGACGACGACAACGATTATACTCCGGATAGCTCGCTTTCCGCTGCTACCGCTGGCCCCGTCTGCCTGCCTGCCCGCCCGCTCGCCTGCCTTGCTGCTCCGCCGCCGATAGTGTGCGCGCGCACCTTCGCGTACACGTAAACGGGTCCGCGCCGTCCGTCTCTCTCCCTCACTGTTTCGCGTGTGTCCACGCGCGCTCGTGTACGAGCTGGTTACGCGTGTACGTGTATGTGTGTACGTCGTCGCGTGTCCGAAGGCGGACGACGAGGAGCGCGAGAACGAGAGAAACAAAGAGAGAGAGGGAGAAACCGGCGAGGAGCGAACGAAAGGTAGAACGAGACGAAACGAGACAGGAAAAAAAAAGGAAAGAAAAGGAGGAAGAGAGGGAAGAGAGAGAGAGAGAGAGAGAGAAAGAGAGGAAATGAGAAACGCGGATAGAAAAGCGTGTAAGTTGGGGAGGGACTCGGGAGGGGAAGCCTCGCGGCCTTGATCTATCCGAGATAAGTTGCGAGCTTTGGTGCACGCTGTCAACGGTACCGCGGTCGCCGTTAGACTGTCGTCACTGTCGTGCCTAAATCGGGGAGAGCCGCGCACACGCACACACGGCACGCACACACACATACACGGAGTACATCGCGCACCTCTCGCCCCGCGCGGTTTGCGCGCGCTCGTCCACCCACCCACCCATCCGCTCCCAACCTTGTGACCCACTACCCCCGTCGTCGCGTACACCACCCTGGGGCCAGTTTCAAGAACGCGGTTTCGCGGTTTCTCCGTCCCGACACCAACCTGAATCCGGTTAACGGCTCGACAATGAATCCTCCGCGCGCTTCGCCGAAATAGCCGGTACTTCATTCAGCGCCGCGATACCCGCACTTCGGCTTATTCATTCAGCGACTTCATGACGCTTTCGAATCTGTAAGCTCGCCGATCGCGATTCAGCGCGATATCGCGCCTCCCGTTGAGACGCGCGTTTTCCTTTTCATCGCGACATATTGATTTTTTTACGTCTCCTCGTCTGATTTCGCGAGTTTCGCGTCAGTTAACAAGATTGTTCTCTCTCGCGAAATGGCTACCTCGACGATTTGGAAATATTTTTCGAGCTTGTCCCCGTATATTTCCCCCCCCCCTCTCTCTCTCTCTCGCAATCTCTTCGAAAACGGTATGACAAATGTTTAAGCACTTACTTAATTCTGCGTCGCCTTCTTATCACGACGTTTAGAATCCACGAAAATTACACCGTGCCGATAGTTCGACGAGTTACGCGAGGGACGCGTGCATTTCAACAGGAGGTAAACGCCGGACTGAAGTGTGCAGCGAGCGCCTACCAAATTCAAATTTCAAAGTTCGCGACCTTCCGAGCTCCGGATTGGCCGGTCCGCCATTACGCGGCGACCGCGGCGCCGCCGTCACTTCCGCGAGCGATCGGCGAACCGTGACGCGCGTTCGAGCGCCCTACTACCTGCTTTCGTGGTTCATGTCCGAACGACGGATTGGCGATTGTTGTGGTCATTAGGTTAGGTGAGTGAACGTTTCTCTTCGGAGTGAGAGGGTAATTGAACGCGTTGGACGCGCGTGAATTATCGCGAAGGAAGAGGCCGACGCGGGCGCGATTGAGCGAGATAACCGCGCGTCGCTGTCATTCTCTGTCGCGGTCTTCTCTTTTTTTCCTCACGGTCAGTACCCGCGACCTCGATATCCCGCCAATATGTGACAAAACAAAGTTGTCCACCTGCCTTTCCTTCCCTGCCAAACGTTCGCGTTCAACTTGCGAAAGGTGTTCTCCCGCTCGTGTCTAATGGACTTCGATCGCATTATCAATTTCCAGATAACGTATCAAAGGTGTTGGAAAGTGGCGCTTCGTCGGGCACCGATTAGACAGATTTATGACTCCTACGCGGGTCGCCGTGACGTTTATGAGACGGCAAAGATGGTTACCATGCAAGATATACGTTTGCAGCTTACCAAGCCAGTGAGAGAGTTGGCGCAATGGGACTTTCCCTTTGCGCAGGTACGCCCGCGATTAAAATTTATGTCATTTACGATAATGTTGAGGCACTGTTGTAATAACGTTTCTCCTACTGTTTCAGACTCTGGAGCAGTATTGCTCTCTATTCAATAAGACGTGCAATAAGAGTTTCGGTGAGGCCGGGCTTGTTCTACAAAGTTCCACGGCTGTGTACGTGCATAGGCTCGATTCTCTCTGGACTAAGATTGAATACAGCAGAAATTTGTTAGCGGCTCAAGAGTAAGTGACATTTCAATATTTGAAAACATTGTAACAGGTGGAGAGAGCTAGATCTCTTAGTTCGGGAAGAATTAATAGTTTAAAGTAATGCACATAAAATTATTTCTTTCAGGCAAGAAGAGGCGACAAAGAATCCCAGTAAAAAGAGAGATAGAAAGACTGATGCATGTTTTCATAAATTTAAAACGATAAATTTTGCAGAAGACGTAGATAAAAACATTGACATTAAGAAACATGTATCACACGATTGTCTAAAATCAAAAAGCCGCCGATTTGCTCAATTAGAGAAGAATATCTCTCAACATGTTTCTATCGACATTTATGATATAAATGGAGAGACCATTGGTAAAAAGTACGATTTCCGGTGAGTTACATTTTTTTTTTTTTAATTTATTTGAACTTGCGTAAGCTGATCACACCTAATATTTCGCAGATGTAATCAGAATTTAAATAAAGATGGCAAATTGGTCGACGAGTTTGCACCTGAAGGTATGCAGTTAATTGTGCAAATAAATTTGCAATTCAATTTCTATCAATGTAAATTAATTTCAATCTCGATTTAACTTTTATTTTTTCTACTTCTAAGAATTAGAAAAAGATACATTAAAATGTACAATAGACCGAGATATAAGTCAAGTCACATCGATATTATAGAAGTGGACATTTCCTCAAATAATATTTCTTAGAAATATTTTTACGTTTCAGATTTTTATTGTGACGACGATGTCTCTGTTAAAGAAAAATCTTACAGACTTTCGTGTGATGCAGCGTCATGCACAGAATCATCTGCGCATGACGAGAGTAATGAAAATGTTAACACGTTCGCCGAGTCCGAGAGAGACGATGATTCGCCGGAAGACGAGATCTCAGAATTGATGATGTCTTTGGAGTCGAGCCAACATAATCTCTCGTCATCCACAGATATCGGGACCGACAACACGCTTGTCAAAACGCCAATGAATATTTCAGGCGATAGTAGCTTACATGATATGACTCTCACGAATCTGACGTGCCCGAACACACCGACCGACACAAATTCGCCGATAACTAATATCGACAATACTATTTCGAATAACAATGATTTAGAGGATCAATGCTTGAATAATAACATCAAGGGAACTATAGACGTCGGCAGTCTACTGGACAGCCCACCTGAGTCGGTGAATTCGAAAGGGAGAAGGTATATTTTCGTTATTCTAACGCTGTTTTTACTTAATTGCAATAAAACTTAGAATTTTGAAACTGTTGATATTTCAGAACTTCGTCGACGGACGATCCGGCATTATTAAGCGACACAAACGGAGATGCAAATTCATGCGTCACTCCTGTACAAAATACCCCTTTGAATGGCAGTAAAAAGAATCAGATCCAGCGACGTTCCACTGCAAAGTCCAACTCGAAACTGGTATGCGATATTACAATTTCGCTTGTGATTAGCGATGTTTCGTTCCTTGTAATATCCTTGAGTTATTTACTTACAGTTGAAGAAAAAGCTACCCGCGTCGTGCAAAAAACAGCAAAGTATTACGAAGAGAAATCTCCTGCATGCATTGGTGGATCCGCTTTATTCGCGAAGAGGTAAATCCATCACGATACGTTTTGAAATTATTTGATACAAATCTATCGATCCGTACTAAATGACTCGTCTTCCAGGTAGACCAAATATGTTCAAGAAAGGCTCGCGTGCTTGTATGAAGTGCATACGCGAGTGCGATCCTTTCCAATACGAAGACGTGACGAACGCAGAGCTGAATCTTTTAGGATTTCGGTTGCACGTTAATACGTTACCGGACGCTTGTATCAACGATGACGTAACGGCGAATAACGACAATGATAATGTAACGAGTTCGATCGATGAGGACAGAGGATCGATTTCGGAGAGTTTTCACAGCCCGAGCCCTACGTGCATGTCGCCCTCGCCTGAAAGTTTCGGTGGTTTCGTTCCGCTTCGATCGGACTCGCCGCAGGACTGGTTGGTAAATCGACCGGCGATTGATGGCTTGGTAAGAAAGGAAATGAAAGGAAATACGTGGTTGTAGAGTGCTAAGCAAAATGTGAGTCTGTTAATACTATTACTATCGCAATTTACAGGATAAAAGAGTCAGCAAGTGGCACGACATGATACAGCCTAAGTTGCGCGACGCCGAGAAAAGAGCGACATTTTGTATTCACGATTACGCGTCGCGAATTATGGAGACTCTGAAGACGAGCGGCCAATGTAAGATCAACTTCGACACCGTTGTTCAAAAGGAGCACCCTTGTGAGGTAGCCAGATACTTTTTAGCGTCGCTGGACTTGGTAAGAAAAGATTATTGGAAGATTAAAGAAAAACATGACCATCGGCCATTTTAACGAAATTCATTGTCCGCAGGCCGCGAAGCAAAATATAGATATAAGCACGAGCGAAGATCTCGAGCATAATATAGAAATCGTCCTCCCCGAGGATAAGCAGTGTTCCACTAACAATCCAGCGGATTCGCACGATTAACGATACATTCTTTAATTACAATAGAACACAAAAGTGTACAAAAAAAATGTAAAATATGTAGATTAATGAAAATTGATTTAAATGCACCTTCGTCAGTCTTGGGAAGGGCCTGTACTGTGATATTCTGCAGCTGAACAGGAGAGCACGATTCTCTCAAAAGAAAAAGACCTGTATGTGTATATATGTATATATATGTACGTATGTATATGTTTATATATACATATATATATATATATTTAAATAATTTAAATATAAATCTATTTGTGTATTAAATATTTTTTTCACAGAATGCGACTCATTTTTCCTCCATCTCTCATTTCCATCCCGAGTGCCGAGTTACAATTATAAATGCATATGGAATAATAATTATGCGATTCATTGGAAATCTATACATCTCTACCGGGCGTGAAGTTCCGATTTAACTAACCGTCGAGCGGTAATTCGCCGCCGGGCGAATTGTAACGAGGTGTTACGCGAAAGAGGGAGAAAGAGAAAGAGAGAGAGAGACTGTTATATGCAGCGACTGTATAGCGCAAAATCGATTTTTTTTCTCTTCTTTTTTTTTAATTAAGACTGGAACGCATCCCATTGACACGCGCTCGGGTGTGCCTGTGGTGTGTCGGACAAAACGGAGCGTGCATTCACGAACGTGCCGCGGGGCCCCAGTCGTCGGGCGCACACCACGACGCCACGCACGTCTCTCACACCGTGCAATGTATGACAATTGGCCGTGGTGTAATACACAGAGAAATGCTCACGCATGCGTCTCCGTCGTCGGCGCCGAGCCGACGACGGCACCGGCTCACAGTTTATATATTAGTTTACATTAGGACAGACGGATACCGCAAACCGCCGTGTAAACTGCGCTTTCGCTAACGCGCCCCGCGAGCGTTCGGAGCGTTCTCCTCTCGCGCGCGCCGAGGAGAAAAAAAAGAGGACCGCGTACGTCGCGCGCTACACGCGTGTGAAATTAAAAAAAATATATTAGAATAGGCTGTAAGTATTTTTTTTTCCAGTGACGCGAGTGCACGCGGAAATATGATACGTGCGGGAAAAGTTTACAGGATGAAAAATTAGCGTTGAGATTTACGTTACGGCGAACGGCAGAGCGACGAAAGGAGACGTAGGACGGAAGCGTGAAACGCGCGGATGTGTTGCAGAAGTTTAATGCACAGTCAATTCCGCTTGATAGTAACCAATCAGACGACACAGATCTGTGCGCTTCTCTTCCCCGCGGTCTCTCTCTCTCTATCCCGCGGCGTGCCAGAGATATTCAATTGAAATAGTTGCGTTCTGCCGCGCGCCGCGTCTTCGCGCTGATATACATGTCGGCGTGCTATCGTCCGCAAGTTTGCGTGAACACACCGATTTCGCGTCGTTAATCGACAACGATAATTTGGCGGAAGCCGATTCACGTAATTTAATTAAAAATTATTTTGAAGATCCGATCGTCTCTTGTCACCGCGTGCTTAATTAAAATCTATATAGGGTTTCATCTATTGTCTTTTGTTTTATTGATTTATTCCCTTTAATAAAGTGGCGGTAACTTTTTTTTTCGCAATGCCGAGAGGCTTTTTCAGACGCGAGACTTTTCACAGGAGTAAAACTACGCCAACATGAACAGCAAGAGTGCATTACTGGTGCAACGTTGGATGCTCCAGCCGCGCGTGTTGCTCGTTCTCATTTTGCTGCAATTTATCATTCAGTTTTTCACGTCCGTCTATCTGTATAAGTACGTCACGAACGTGGAGAGCGATCTTCGTCGGGTAAAAAGCCAGTACCCGCCGGAGGCGGTGGCGATTCCGCGGCGAAGACGCAGCAGCGCGTTGCCGACCTCGGAGGACAATGCCGTTTCGGATATATCCAGTCGGGTACGTATAAAATACATAGATAGGGAGAGAATATCCTCCCTAAGAATAGAAAAAAAATTGATAGAAATGTACAGGAGACAAAAATCCTAATTGTTTAAATGAAGAGAGCGAAAAACGGCTGTGAAAATTCGAAATTTTCCCCATATTTCCTGTTGCAACGAAAAACAGAAGGCGTACACAACGTAAATTAAAACTTTCCGTTTTAATTGTATCAAATGGCAGTTACACAAAATAAAAGAAGATAAACAAAAAAAGAGAATTATTCCAAAATTTTACGGACGAGAGAGAGAGAGAGAGAGAGAGAGAAAACAATTTCTCCCTGTGTGTCTTAATTCCCCCAAACGTTTAATCTTCCGAGATCTCCTAAGAGCGCGGGGGGCTTTTGACTTCCCAATTTAATTCCTCGGAGGATATCTCGGATCTTCCCCTTAATATCGCGGGATTTCGCTCGGGCCGCTCGGTTGCAGATCCGAGATGACAAGGAGATACAGGGTACAAAGAAGGTAACCGCCTCCCCGATGGTATCCGGCTCCGCGTCCTCGCCAACGGTGGCCGGAGGTCAGGATTGGGTCTGGTTGAACGCCGACACACGCATACAAGTCAGTTCTCTGTGATTGTTAGAACTAGTTACCTGTTTCGCGATACATCTCCTCGTTGAATACTCCTCCTCAAACTTGCCGAGTGTTGTCGCGATGTTCCACGACGAGTTCCGTCACCTACATAGAACATTGCGTATTTAGACGGATACTTGGAGATAGCTGCTAAGTATATCCGTTACACCTATTTTCCCCATTAAAATAATGATGCTAAAATAACGTCGTTAAAATAACACTACTAAAATAACGATAACGTTCGTGCAAACGTGGACGTGTTATTTTCATTATTTCATACACGAGAAGATCAGATTCGATAAGAAAACTAAATAGCGCTTATATAATTATATATAAGATCTCACTTTATATTTCAAATGCAAATACATTTATAGAAATATAATTCGCTTTTAATTTACATATTTTTAACGTATCGTTATACGAGAGACAATAGCTAAAGATTCCAAAGACTTCAAGACGTCTGCAGGGAATCAGGCCACGAAAATATTTAAATATTTAAAAACCGGCTACAATTTTAGAAATTTTAATGTAGCACGTACACAGATTCAATTTATTTCATGTTATTTAAAATAAAATCAAGCTTTTTATTTATCTATTTACCTGCTTCAGTTGGACGCGATCGAAAGTTTTTGCCGTTCGTCTACGAAGTATTGTCCACCAGGCCTGCCTGGCGCGCCCGGAAATCCGGGCCCGCCTGGCGAACCGGGTTTGCCGGGTGTCCCGGGGATAGAGGGTCCGAAGGGACCCCCAGGACAATCCGGTTATCCCGGTGTCAGAGGGTCCAAGGGCGACATCGGGCCACCGGGCTTCGACGGGAGGGACGGGGTGCCGGGTGAGCCTGGTTTGGACGGCATTCCCGGTAGAAGTGGTCTGGACGGCGTACCCGGAAGCAACGGTAAGCCAGGTTTGAATGGATTGCCTGGATCGGCTGGAAGAAACGGAACGGACGGTACGTTTGAATATAGAATTACTTAACGATGTTTTGTTGCAGTCGAGAAGGATTGATGTGCAGAGAGAATACGAATGTCAAAAATAACAATTTTGCATTAAAAAGCCTTTTCCATAATGCGTTCATTTAAATTTATTCAACTCACAAACTAAATCCTTTCTTTTTTTTTAATGTAATACGTTCTAATTAAGTAAATGTATTTTAATTATCAAATAATTACATTGTGGTTGTGAGAAACATTTAATTTGCTAAATTAAATTTTTCCTTTAAACTGAAGATGTATAGTTTTGTTCTAATTTAAGTTCCTAAAAAAAACGTTCTTTTTATGTTAAAACTTTTACTTATTAATTAAATTATAAATTATGTAATATTATATCTAAGTATATATGTAGCAGAATTGTACATTCTTCGTAATATCTCACAGATAAAAAATTGATTGACATTTCATATTTATTTAGGAAGACCAGGGCAAATGGGGCCTGTAGGACCACCAGGATCTCGTGGTAGGTAATAACACTATCGTCCTTCCTTCATTTCTTATACAAATCTACTTGTTCATGTTTCAGGAGATATAGGTCCACCTGGTCATTCAGGAATGCCGGGAAAGGATGGCAAACCAGGAATACAGGCGTACAAAATGGACATGTTCAATCGCAACGAGAGTGACATATTAATACCGCCATCCCTCATAGGTAAAGATTACTGTTTTTTTTTCCTTTTTTTTATGCGAGTTAGGACCGGTTGTTCCATTCCTTCCGATCAATTATGTGGTAATTTATCTAATGGATAAATGTCAGCCAACGCTATTGGCCCGACATTTATTTATCCATTAGATAAATCATTGCATAATTTATCCGAAAATGGAACAACCAGCCAGCCCTTATTGAATTTTTAGAGGCAAACTCATATTATTTATCGTTTTATATTATCGTGAGGCAAATTTATACATAATGCCTCTATCACATTGGCTATCGCAATCACGTATCTTCGATATCGACGTTTTTTTTTTTTACGGAAGATCTTACAATCATCGAAAATTGGGGCGTTTCAGAAATGACGCCGTTGAATTCGAGTAACGTGATTTCCGTGCAAGAAGGCAGCAAAATACGGCTGAGATGTGCCGCGGGTGGAAAACCGCAGCCCGTTATACAATGGACAAAAATAGACGGTTCCATGATACCCATGGGTCCCTGGCATGGTATAAATGGACTCTTTAATTTGGTAATAAGTAGCGAGCAGATAAAGCGAGGGATTAACAAACCTTCCTATAAATCTTGCGACTCTAGTGAGCTCTATTACGGGCCATACGTTCAACATCAGCGTGGTGAACCGGGAACACATGGGCGAGTATGTGTGCAACGCTAATAACGGAATACCTCCGGCACAGTCCCAGAGATTTAAGCTTCAAGTCAGATGTAAGCACGTTTCAATCTCATTGAAGATAATATATATATTCTTTTAATTTACGATAAATGTTTCGAAATAATATAACAAGAATAAAATAACAATATAACGATAAAGTTTAAAGAATTTTAAAAAGTAACATATAATTATCTGTTATAACATAAATATATATATATATATTTTTTTTTAAATTTCTTATGTAAACTTTAGACTCTTGAGTATTATTATTCTGTTTATTCTTATTCTGTAATTTCATATTTTAAAACTCATATAAAAATTTCTTTATAATTATTCTTTATGTATTCCATTTTGAAAAGGTATTGACGATAAGCGCTTTTAAAATTTTTGAAAAATTTCGCGTGTTGCCGCGAGATAACATGCACGAATATCTTCTGGGTTTTGATATTATTAGGACACACACCGAAAGAGAAAACCAGTTTCGTTCGAATCGATAGGCACAGATGTGGGTAAAATTGATAATCGATCGCGTTCCAGTTTCGCCGTTCATTCGTATACGCAACCAAGTGGTACTCGTGCGAAACCAAAATCCGGCGACACTGGAATGCGAAGTGGAAGGCTTTCCCGAGCCGGCGGTACACTGGGAACGCAGTGACGGTCGCCGCCTGAAATCGGATAATAATAAGTACAGAATGGAGGTTTACGACAAGCGCGATAATTACAAGGTAAACCCGTCGAACCTGTATATCCGTAGATTTCCACGACGAATCCGCGCGCGTTATTATATTGCTTTCTACGCGATTTTCTTATAGTGTTTTCGGACGGAACGGGTTTTATCGCTCCGAGAGCGATTAATAACATCACATGCTCTCCTCGTCCAATCAGAAATCTAAAATAGAGCATGTGACGTCATTAATCGCTCTCGGAACGATCAAACCCGCTCCGTCCGAAAACGCTATTGGGAGTCCTCTTTTCAATGATAATAATTTGCACATTTCATCGTAATAAATATCGATGATAAATCGTTCCTGCTTTCATATCTGCTATACGTTAACAACAAATGAGATGTTTTACAATACACGAAATTATTCTGAAAAGCTGAAGATGAAGCTGAGAATCGCGAGGGTGACTGCGTCGGATCACGGGACTTATCACTGCGTGGCGAAAAACGATCTTGACGTTGTCAAGGGATCCTTTATAGTAAACGGTTCGTTTCACCTCGTATTACGTTCTCGTAATTTCACCTTACATTGATAATAGAATTATTATCAATGGCAGAGCCATTACGGAACTTACTAATTAATTGCAACATCATGAAGGATACAGAAGTAAGACTCCGAGTTTGAGGATATGCAGGTTGTTATTCTGCATTATTTCGCAGCGTAACGTTTCCAGACGAGAAACAATACTTGTACTATAAATATGCTCGTCATTTCTGATTCAATCTTCGAATGTGAAACAAGAAAATAGACACAAGATATTAATACAATTTCCGGAGATTAAAAACACGTTTCTTCCACTTCTGTATCTATTATGTAATTTCTGAGTTTTTTTTCTTGGATTGGATATTTAATTTCTTTTTAAACGTAATTTTTTTCTAAGACCAATCCTAACGCCTGTCTCTGCTAATCAAATTTCCTAATTACTGGTAATAAATAATGCTAGATGATACGAAAGATATCGAGAAATACAAGTCAGGAAAGGAGGAGCACGTGACGTACGGCCAGCCCATGCCCATGAGCGTCGATCAGGAGCAAGAATTGTGCATCCCCGCGCAAGAAACCTGCACGACGTGCCCGAAGTGCACGTACACAGACATAATGGACCACGTGCACGTTCAGCCGTTGAGCGATATTAATATTACGCGGCCGCCGCCGCGGTTAGTCGGTACGTTTAATCAATTCTAACTAATGTATTCCAACAGCGTTCTTGCGCAAGGTAGATCAATTAATTCGAGGAAGCGGAGAGGTGCAAAGCTCTTAGATGTAAACGCATACGTAACGTAATGTATATTTCCCGACATGGCATAAGCCTCGGTGCAATATGCATGTATGAATCCAGAGAAACGGATGTACACTTGTCGAGAATCTTTGCTATAATCGTTGCGCAACAAAGAAATAAAGTAAAAAAAATAATAACGTAAAATGGAAAGGGAATCCTCTTCCTCGGTGAGAATGCCTTTTGTGTAATACCCTCTATAAATCTGTCGGTCACGTATTTTGATACCCGCGAAAGAAATGGAAATCAAGAATTTGCTCGGAATGAAAATATTTGATATTTAAGATATTCGTTTAGCGTGTGTCTCTTAATCAATTTCACATGACTTGAATCGGGATCTCCTTTCGATTAAAACTCTTAATTCATCTAGTACCTTCATGCAAACGCGTGTACATACATACTCACGGCGCGGCGGGTCAAGTATACAGCGGAGTACCCCGTGCATTAACGACTGTAGGGTCGCAATATCGCGGAAGTTTACGCAATTAACGAACTGTCGGCACTCTCTCGTCAAGCACGAGTGCCCGTAATATCACCCGGCTAAAAAACAAGCTCTTTCCGAGGGTGAACTCCCCGAGTTCTTGGGGAGCACGGAAAGTTAATAACCCGCGACGTTGGTGAATTCGCAGAGGGTTTCATAGAGGCCATAGGGAAACCCGTGCTGAAAGGGTACATGGACGATCATCACGGAAGCTGGATGCACGACGCGTCAGCGTCGAGCATCGACAACACGGCCGACAGACTTTGGGTTACTCGCCACAACGAAACGTCACGCATCTACGAGTATAAATCGAAGGATTTCTTCAAGAACCACACGTCGTTCAAGCAATTCGACTTGCAATATCCTTTCCAGGTCGGCAGTTTAAGAATAAAATGAGCAGCGAGATACTAATTATATAGTTCCGACGGAGTTTTAAAAGTATAGTAAAATGACGATAAAAAAAAAGAGCATGATGTACCACACACATTTTCTCTAGAAAGTTTCGATGTCTAGTCGGGAGAAGAGCGTGAAGTGAGAATTCAGCTCACGGTCGGCGTCTTCTCTTCCAGGGTAACGGACACGTGGTTTACGACAAGTCGTTTTTCTACAATCCCATTAATCGGTCGTCGGTCATCCGATACGATCTCTACGCGTCCTCGGACCACCAGCGGTGCAAGGAGTACTCCCGCGAATGCGAGATGCGGCTACCGTGCTTGGAGGTCAATGGCCAGAATTATCTCTACGCGCGCAATTTCACCTACACGGATTTCAACGTAGACGACAACGGTAAAACGAGCGCGCGGAGCGGCGAAGAGGCAGACGTTCGATATCTTTATATAAATTACATAATAAAGAAGAATAATTCAAATGATTGAAAATATTCATTTTCACGCGAAATATCGAATATTATAAATGAAAAATGTTGTGGCATAAAATGTAATAATAACGCGCGGCGTGTTTCCGCAGGTTTGTGGGTCATTTATCCATTATCCCCCAATTGCAGGGGCAAAAATACGGTAGTGGTGAAAATGGATCCTATTAAAATGGATATTCAGTACGCGTGGAATATCAGTATCGATCACCGTCGATTCGGGGAGATGTTTATCGCGGGTGGCGTGCTCTACGCTATACGCAGCGTCACCGACGATACTATGGAGATACGGTAACGCGAATGACAAACTGCCCTTAAAGCTGCGATCGTATAGGGCACCAATATCCCATGGAAATGCTATGGATATTTCATTTTCGATGTTTTCTATTATCCTCGATATATCTCTCGTAATCTTTATCACCGTATTGTATCTCATTTTTTTATTATATTCAAGATGTGTCCACGAATAGCCATGGAATGTGACGTACATTTGCTTCTTTCTGAAAATTATTATTGTTCGTAACTCAGCCGAATTTTTTTAGATTCGCCTTCGATCTCTACAAGAATACGACGCTGGATGTAAACTTGTCGTTCACGAATCCGTATCACAAGACCACGGCGGTCAGCTACAATCATAAGACTAGGGTACGTGCTTGACCGAGCGGTGCCTTTCACCGTTTCACCGTTTCGCGTTTCGTTGCAATCCGTTTCTCCATTTTCAGGAGCTCTACACGTGGAACAAGGGCAACCGATTAGCCTATCCCGTGAAATGGCACGAGATAACTGAGAGGGAACCGTCTTCACGATATACGCATGTGCCACGAAGGAACGCGCGTAGGAGCGTCGCCAATCATCGCGAGAACGTTAATTAAGCAAGTTCGACGTGCAACGTGCAAGTTCTCTCCTTTCGAGCGCGTATTTATCTTGTAACACGTGCCAAAAATAAAACAGTTTAAACGGGATTAATCAGGGCGTGTAGTTATTACTTGTCAACAGATTCAGAAACTATGACTCTAGGAATCATCGAACCTGCATTTTAATATAGTCGTGCAAAGTAATACAAAATCATGTTATTGTAACATAATTTTTAAAATTGTATTTAAAAAAAACATGCTATATAAATGCATAAAAATATACATGACAAAAGAAAATAAATTAATGCTTGTTTTTTTTTAACAATTAGTTTATCATTTAGTCTCGTATTCTATGATAATACTATATATTGATATATATAATTATAAATATTAAATAGCCTTTTTACTGAAAATGAATAATTAAACGATTTAAATTTTGCCATACAATAAAGATAATGAAGGATAAATTTGCTTGAATGTTAAATATTTATTGTAATTGCTGATATTGCTAAAATTATATACGTTTTTTTACTAAAAATTGACGATGTTAGGTAATTTATATATAAATTTTGCTTTAAGATAAAAATAAAGAAGATAAGATAAAGAAGAATTGACTTAAATATGTCTATGTAACTTCTAAACATGTATATTAAACCCGTGCAACGTATGCGTGCGTAAACATCGCAGATAATGGTGTCAAAAATGATTTAAAATAAGATTTATAAAACAAAATACGTTATATATATGTATAATAATAATGAAGTAATGGCGTTGCATGGCATATTGATTTAATACTCAATGGCTACATCAGTATGTCTTATAATTAAAAAAAATTGGTTCAAAAATAAGTTTAAAATATTATATTTTTGTATTGCGCAACGATTGGAGATCGTCTAAATGCAGCTGTGACACATTTAATGCTATTTAGGTATAACAGAAGGCAAGGACAATTAACTGCAGTATTCCTGATAATTAGTACCTCGTGTGACTCATCTTCTATTGAATCTTCGCAGTTACGATATCAAGTACATACTTGTCACGTGATCGAGACACAAAGCCTACGGGCGTACATTCTCTTCCCTCGCGTACGTTCCCTCCTCGGGACTTCCGTTTCGCTTTTGGGAAATGCGATAGGACGCGGGGGGATCCGAAACGCGCGCGACGATAAGAACGCATAGTAATCCAAGATGATTGAAGTGCCCCGTATAACACGATAATCGTCGCACTCCTACTATTTTCATAGAAATATGGAAGGGGCATAGCAAACGTGCACGCGAAACTATATGCAGCGGTGGTTATATAAATTGCGAGCGCGGCCGAATCGGCGGGCAAGTCCCAAAGAGAACTCGTCGGTGAACTGTCGCCGTTCTCACTCTCGAACGGCGTTCACCCAGCTCGGCCCGCTCTCCGGCACAACTATTTGCACGGTCCCTTGTTAACCAAATTAGCCTTGGGTCATCTCTGCGGAATTAATTGGGGACGTGACTCCGCCGCGTATCTCGGCTATCGGCATCGAGACTGTCCGCCGGACTTCGGTTATGGGTACGACCGCCAGTTTTCTGGGGTACGTCAACGGATGTGTGATAAGTAAAAAATTATCTCGCGACGCTTTCTCCCTGTTGTGCAACTGATTTTACACTCGATCGCCTCGCCGAGGCCGTTAACGTCACGATCGGGAACGCGGTGATGATATTTTCGTCGGGGGTCTCAACAAACTATGACCTTCTCAAAAACTCGTCAAAGTTGTTTGTACGGTCAGCGTCAGACTATGCGCGATTCGTGATTCGAGATTCACGAGTTCGATATTTGTATGAGATTCGCGAACAGTGTGAATATATAGATACATATTGATCAAGTTCGTGCACTCGTGCCGATTCGCCAGCAAAACAGATTTTATGACGAAAGGATCAAAGAGCGAATCACCACGGTGAGTGGTCAACAATCCGTCAATTTATTTTGATATGTGTAAAGTGCTACGCATTACAATTCATGTCTACATGGAGAGAATTTCCTTTTAAAATTTACTCTGTTAATCACGTTAATCGTGGGACAACATATTTCGACAAATTTTATGTAATTTTCTCAGTTTTTTTTACTATACTACAATAAATTTGTTGTAGTATATATTTAAAAAAATAGTGAAAATCCATAAAATTCATTGAAAACTATGTTGTCACACGATTAACATGATTTTCAGGGTAAATTTTGAAATAAAATTTTCTCCGTGTATTTGTGCATACGTTATCTATATATATTTGCAAAAACTGTCTACGATATCTATACTTTATTTTGTATTAGCACTAAATTTTTAAGTATATAATCATAAATCGTGAATAGTGGTGAAGATCTACATTAAATTTTATAAAAATAATAAACCACAAACTATCTAATTATAAATCACGCATAGTCTGACACGCATAGGCTTTACGAGTTCAATGTATATGATAACAATAACATTTATTTAAAGACGAGTTTTTCGTAGATTCAATAAAAATGTGATTGTTCGTACTGTAGTTATCTCGGCGGAGAGATATGCGAGCGATCTATTGTACTTTCGCTGCAGCAGCTGGTTCTCATAAAGTTACTTGAGCCTCATTGTGACGACGTCAGGCCCTTTAATGTTGCGCTGTGCAAATTTTAATGTGACATTATTCAAGGCACTCTTTCTCCTGTTCTGTTCTTATCTCTTCTTTCCGACCCTGTGTTTCTTCGCAAGAATCGCTTACATAATGAGAATCGCTAAAGGAGTTCCGTTCGCAGGATAAAGTTCATACGAGCTCAACAGCGGACATATAAACTGCTTCGTAACGATTCAATTGCTCCTCGTAATCGTTTTTATCTTTCGTACCTATGTGTGCTTCTGCTTCATCATGAAGTCTCGCATGCGTGTGAAATGTAAAAGACATTAAATGTAGTTACGCCTTGACATTCGTGTGATTTGTTGCATAACGATGACATCAGCGATTTCTAATTTTAATGCTGCAGCATTGTTGAACAAACGTTGCGTGCATAGATAACATCTCTCGCTTCTTACATGACATGTTCATTTTTTTTTATCGAACAATGTTTAAGATGGTTTTATCGCTCAACGTCAACTCGATAGTGTGACGTTGTCACATATATGTAAACGTCACATAATCGTATATATACACCCACAGTCATTGATTCTATCCCTCGAAAATTTTCACAAACTGTGAAGTGATCACTTTAGAGTTTGTGAAAATTTCCGAGGGACAGAATCAATGACTGTGGGTGTACAGTCGTGGACATATCGGTTGCGATACTTTTTTTTATAGGTTTTCAGTATATATATTTAATATATATTTTATAGGTAACTAATATTTTGCAAATGCAAACCACGATGGTGTACTATCTTTAGTCTAGAGACAGTACACCAATTGTGGTTCGCATTTGCAAAATATTAGTGCGTTTCGAAGAATATCAGTTGCGACACTATTAAAAAAAAATAGTGTCGTAACCGATATGTCCACGACTGTACAGTCTATGCGAAATGTTTTTATTGAATTATTAATCATATGGAGGGATTAACTTTTGACTGGACTTGCTCGATAAAACCACCTTAAACGATCGACGCTTCGATAAATAAGCGAGTCAATTTTGAAGTAACGCTTAGAAAATTAAATATTAGAAATTTACATGAATTCACGTTGATTTTCTTCGTCTCACGTGGATGAAATGTTCAAAATAAACGTCTCTCGAGACAAACGTCCATCGAGACAAATGTTTTGTCATTGATAATAAACTAAACAATAATATATCAATGAAGAATATAGCTATTCTACGTATTTGGCTAATTTATTTTATCTCTACTACTCCACTACTGACTCTTTTTATTTTCACAATAAAAAACCTCATCTTCTTTCATTATGTAACATTCAAGTTTCAAAATAAATTCTAACAATAGAAATAACCGCAGACAACGACACTTCGTCAAAATAAAATTAAAGTCGAGATATCTACACTTTACAATTTAATAGAAATGGTAGAATCAACGAATGAAAGCCATAAACGAAATCGACTGCTCGTGTGCAGCTCAGGGACAGAAACGTCGAAACGTCGATATTCACTACGACGTGGACGCAAGTAACACGTATCGATATGAAATACTGTATTATGAATAAATGAATATGAAAAACTAAATAATCACAATAATAGTATAATGACAAGCGTGGATAAGAAACGCATTTTTCACATTAAATTCAACCGTCGTTCGAAAAGTTCGGATTATAAAATATCACAGATTATATTGTAAAATAATCTTTGATGTATGTTTTCGTTCCAGTCAGTTTCCTGCCTTTTTGACAGTTTTCTAATATTTCTCTCATATCTTCTTTTATCTCGTCGTAGCGTTTACAGCGACGGAAATAGCTATCAAAAACTGAAATTATAATTTCAACGAATTCGTATTTCGAGATTTCGGGAAAGTTATTTATGTATTCTATACATCGTACGTTTTTCTATATTTTCCTCGAACATTGAAATGGGGTCGACATACTCCAATATCAATTTTTCATACAAGTTTAATTATTTAACGCTCGCAACTATGTGTACGCCCGCATCCAGTTCGTACAAAAAGAAAAAAGCCGATGCAGTGTTGAACGAATGAGAACATTTCACGTATTTTTGTAGCAGATATAGTGAAAAAAACAAAGTTGTCCGCAACAAAAAAGCACGCAATAAGAAACAGGTCCACAGTAAATAACTTTTTTACTCGGAAGCTAAAAGATAGAAGACAAGTGATTAATTGTCTTCCGCTCTTTGTAGAATTGTTTCCGTCGTCCTCTCCCCGCCCCCCTCTCTTTATATATATATATATATATATATATATATATATATATATGTATAATAACATACGCGAATAAAAGTAAATTAAAGCTGCATAATTGCAAGTTAATTAAATTAATACAGTATAAAACTAATTTTAAAACTTCTTTACAAAAAGTTTTAATAAATATTTTATTAATATGTAACTGAAATAAATAATAATGGTAATTATATACATATCTTTTCCACGCATAATAATTACAAAGTAATTTTAATTTTTTTCCCAGTTAAAGAAAATAAGTTGATTGAATTTAAATCTCTCTAAATAAAGCATATTTTAATTAATACGATAGTTTAATGAGAAATGGACAGAGAGTGATACGTTGTAAAATCTATTTTTCGCTTTTTAAGACTAACTGCGCAAAATTTAAGCTTCCCCGGATTCAAATTGTGAGTGCGCTTTAACATTGATGACTAATTACAATTACGTCGCAAAATTATGTAGTCAAGCTGAGTTTAAGCGTCGTTTGCGGATGTGAGTTATCAACATAAGTCAGCGTTACGATCTTTAGCTACATCCTCGCGTAAAAACCATGTTATTCACGTATCTGAATACATTAGTGCTACGAAATATGATTGCATATTTCGTGCTAATAGCGTGCTTTACGAAACAAGGTTCTTCATTAATACTGATTTGCCGATGGAAAAAACGAGCATTACAGGTATATCATACTTGGGAGAGAAAAAATACGCATATTATATCGTTACATAGAAAAAAATTAGCCTATCATCTGCTAACGACATTGACGACCATTGATCATATGATTGCGGCATATAAATGATTTTGTGACGAATTACGCGTTTCGCGAATGATGGAATACCGTGTAGCAACAAGTGTGATTATATAAACTCGTTAAAAGCCTCTGCCGTACTGTAGATCTTTGCATCGAGAAAATTACTTTTTGTCATGCCCGCGCATGCTAAGAAAATGTTCTATTTCAGATATATGTTTTTCTTGTGTGTAAACACATATTCTTTCAGTCTTCATACGTCTCGGTTTCTAAAAATTTTATTATCTGCAACATTCGCGCACAACATTCACGAACACTCGAACACTTGTTCCGTAATTCTGTATTTACTTTTTCTTATTTCTTGTTCCTCGTTTATATTTAGAAATCTGTTATATTATACAGTTAGACAGCCATTGAGACACTACGATTACCTAAATCCTTGACTTAATCTTATTGATGTTCACCTTGATTTTTTTGGCATCATAATACGCTATTTTATATTTTGGACTTTCACCTTTCAGCCACTTCTTCTTTTTATATCTCTGTTATATTTATCAATCGAATAATTAATTATTCTCTCTCTCTCTCTCTCTCTCTCTCTCTCTCTGTATGTGTGTTGTGTGTAATAGATAAAAAATGATAAAGATGAAAATAAAAAAGGGATTCTGCAAAATTGCATACAATTATAGTATGATTTAATGCTGTGTAGTAATTTCTATATCATCATGTGTAATTATTGTATTATCGAGTTTCTTGCATAAAAAAAACGAAATTTTAAAATATACATACATGTTGCGTATTATATATATAATACATATAAAAAATATATATATTATCATATGTACTCTCTAAAAGTGAATCAGTGGAATCATCACTGATTGTCAGTGTATATCATTTTCCAGTGACATATTTAGAACTGTGATATACAGTAACTATTTCAATGTCGCTTCAGTGATAATATACTCATTTAAACAGTAAATTTGACGGTTTGACAGTGAAATTTAGCGATATTCACTGTGTAAATCAGTATATTATCACTGAAGCGACATTAAAATAGTCACTGTTTATCACAGTTCTAAGTATGCCACTGGAAAATAATATACACTGACAATTAATGATGATTTAACTGATTCACTTTTAGAGAGTATATAAGACAAGCGAGACATGTATATTATTTTGAAATTTTTTTTCTTTATTACTGGATTGCGAGAAACTCAAAATTACACGATAATTACACATAATATAGAGATTACTACGTAGCATTAAATCATACTCATAATTACGTACATTCTAATAGAGTTTCTTTTTTTTATTTCTCTACCGCAAATTAATCTTACACTGTTCCGCGTAAGTCTACAGTAAGTCTTGAACTCTAACAACTTCTCATTAATATTTTTATCCTTCTGTGTTGAGTTAATTTCGCGTGTTGATCCACGGTCTGCGACAATAAATTATCATTAAAAATTTCTTGGTCTTATGTAGCTTAAGCTTTACAGCAAAGAGATGTAAAAATAAAATGATGACAAAAAAATATGAATTTTCATCTCGTAACGTGTCCACATTTGGGAGACAATAATAGATCAGCTGATTAAATGCGTTGCATAATATTAGGCAACGTATCGCCTACGTAACTAACATTTTTTATATCATACTTGATTGAATACTTGATTGAAATCTTATGAACCGTCCCGAATAGTTAGTAAACGAAAAACAATCTCTTTTTTTTTATTTCACTTCTGACATCAACGGTGAGAGACCTTTTTTCGCAGAATAATGTCAAGCAATAAAAATATATGTTCCGCTGAATATCGTATGAATATCATTTCTTTTTCACTGCATTCAAGGCAGAAATACTTCTACACTCGCACCACTGCATACCACACTTCGTACTTTTTCAAGTGGTGAGTGACGATTTTAATTATTCATCATGCACATACACGCACAATATAACGTGTGATTTTTCATTCAATAACCATGAAAAAAAAATCATATTTCATTCGATATACATATCTGCGCTAACATTCAAATAAACGTGAACTATATATGTACGAGCTAGTTATTTACGATTCGCGAGAATTGTGCATTGGAGAATTTTGCTTGCATCATGCACTCATCATCGTCGCTGCTGAATCACTGCTTGATGCAAAATGAAAGAAAAAAGTTATATGATATTTGATATCTTTCTCCGTATTTCTCAAAAGGCGTACGTATATCTGATAAGACTCGTGTAAACATATATTGGACGAACGGATCACCAGTGTGTGCATTGGCACAATTGACGAAAGATGCCAACGATAATGTAAGTTTCAATCTTATAGAGTTCTTTTTTTATTTCTCTACCGCAGATTAATCTTACATTGTGCCATGTAAGTCTATAACTCCAGCAACTTCTCATTAATATTTTTATCTTTCTGTGTTGAGTTGAAGAATCACATAGTACACGCCAATTTATACATTTATACGAGGCTAGAAATAAAAATCCGTGCACAGCGAATTTATTTCCGGAAGTCTTTTTCTTGATATATTTCACGAGAAAAAATTTTAAAATAAACAATTATTGACGCATTTATTTTATTGTAAATCAAAATATATATATGATAAATCAAAAGAATTCTTGTATATTCTATCTCACATATTCATATCTGTACTTCTTCAGTTAATAACAATGTTAAAAAGTTCCATTTCTAATTTATTCTTCGTTGCAGGAAGGGTGAAAAATCCATTAATTTTACCATAAATGGAACACCATACACGAGTACGTATTCTTCACAAATGTATAGGTAACGCAATTGACACAATGAAAGATTTCGATTCTATTAAACAGCAGATAAATAATTTCGTACACCCGACGGTACAGAGACTATAGAATTTCATTATGTGGACGTAATGTAATTATTTAACGCAGGAGAACGTTGTTACATCGACAGAAACCATTACATTCAGTTACGAAAATGTAATTGCAATGGCAGAAACATTTAATATTCAATTGTAAAGATTCAATTATGACGGTGGGCTTTCGAAATGTCGCGAAATTAAAGTCGGTGCACTACATACATCGTATCTCCGTGCTTTACGAATCGTACCTGTCATTTCGATTTTACAATCGTCGCATCGCTTTCAGTCTCGAGGGACATACCAGCTGACACGTCCCTCAACGTCTATATTCGCGACCATGCGAAACTCCGCGGCACAAAAGCCATGTGCCACGAGGGTGGCTGCGGCGCCTGTATCGTGGCCGCGGAAATCAAGGGTCAGACAATGGCTGTGAACTCCTGCCTCGTACCGATACTAATCTGCGACGGGTATGCGTGAATCAAGAAATTACATTAAAATTTTACGCTAAAAAAAGTAATAAATATTTATATTTTACGACGTCATTTCTAGCTAGGAAAAGTAGTCTTTGACATGTTAAACTATTTTCTGTTTTAATCTATTTATTTCATTTCTCTTAATTTTATTAAAATTATACTATTTTTAAATAATGTCTGTAAACGAATTCACAGATGGGCGATTCACACAATCGAAGGTATAGGAAATAAACGAGATGGTTATAACTCGATTCAAGCCGCGCTCGCCGGGAAAAATGGCTCGCAATGTGGGTACTGCTCTCCTGGCATGGTAATGAATCTTTACAGGTGAGTGTGTGCGCCGTAAAAGAGTTAATTAGAATTGCCATATTTAAAAAAAATAATATTATACTCACAGAAAATTGTTTTGAAATTTTTGACGTTGAAATTTTTATTGAGCAATAAATAAATATTTGGGAAAATTAGCAAATAAATTATCAAATGTGAAATAAAGTATAAGAAAATTGTTAATTAAAATTATATACATGAACAATATACATGATACACGTTAATTACTACATTAAGAAAATAACACAATTTTAGATGTCTAGAATTTTTTCGAAATTTCTGGCGTTGTAGTAAACTTTTACCAAGTAATATTTAAAATAAAATAAATAATCAATCAAAAGTTATCAAATGTCAAATAATGTATGAGCAGATTTAAATTAAAATTACATGCATGAATAATAATACGTGGAAGCGAAGCATATTCCACATTTAAATATCGCATACGAAGTTTCAAATCAATCGCAAATTCGTATCAGTCTACATTGGAGATTACGGATTGCGAATTGAAGATCAGATCAATCAGATAATTCTAATTTTAATCCGTTTCGTCCTTCGACTTCGAACTCCAATTCGCAATTCAGATGCGAGTTTAAGAATATGTAAATAGAGTTTGCATATATGCACATTATTATTACGATTTTCAGCCTTCTGCAGAACAAGAAATTGACTATGCAGGAAATCGAGAATTCCTTCGGTAGTAACATCTGCCGGTGTACAGGCTATCGCCCGATTTTGGACACGGTTAAGGGATATGCCAGCGATGCGATTCCACAACTGGCGAAGGACATTCGCGATATCGAGGTATGCTTGCGTAAAAAAAAAAATATTTTATTTCCATAAAGGTTTTATTTTTATATTCTCGGATTTATTACTGAAATAAATCCCGAGAATATACGCATAGAATTGTTTTACGTATATAACTGTGATTATTGTTTTGTTAATATTATGAAAAGCTGTCATATCGTTTAAATGTTGTTATCAATCCAATAACGCATCCCGCAGGAGATCTACAACATCAAGACCTGTCCGAAGAACGGAATGCCGTGCAAAGGCAAATGCGCCAACAAACATCTCTCAGATGGAAATACGGAAACGGTGGATATAAAGTTGGCGGACGTGGAATTCTATAAAGTTTACTCGATCGAGAATCTATTCGCGGTATTTCGAGAGAAACCGGATGGAACGTATATATTAAACGGCGGAAACACAGCACATGGTAATTTGCTTTCAATTTGCACGATACATGAACAGATTGATAGAAAAAAATAAAGTGTACACAATTTCACTTTTATGGATCTATTAAAGTTTTTCCAAAATTGTCTCTATCTAAAATATAAAAAGTCATCATCAATAACATTTACAATATGTTATTGATGACGACCTTTTATAATTTTAAAAATTAAAGAAGTAAATGGTTTTTATTTAAACAAGTTTATCTAAAAAAAAACAATATTTATTTTATCACGCGAATTTTATCTAAATAAAAAAATATGGATGCATTTCCGATATATAGAAGCAAAAAAAAAGAGCGTTTTACTGCGTCATCTTTTCAACTATTCGTATATCATTAAAAAGTAATACGATAGATATAAAATATCCTGCGTGTATATTTATTATTCCAGAATTTATAGTGCATAATTTTTCCTCTTAAATAACAATGATCTCGCGCGATGCTAAACATATGGTATAAAATAAAATTACAGAATTCTTCTTTTTGTTAATTTAAACCGACGAGCGATTAATATTGAATAAATAACCATAAATTTTTTCACAAATCTAAAAAAAGAATACACAATATTGAGAGCGTAATCCTGCACAGGTGTTTATCGGACGGGCAAACACGACCTTCGCATCGATATAAACGACATCCCGGATTTGCGTCGCATTGAGAAAACTAACGAGTCCCTGACCCTGGGCGGAGGTGTGTCTCTCACCACGGCGATGGAGACCTTTGAGAAGTACTCGTCCGAGGCCGGATTCAAGCATCTTCATCACCTGGCCCATCACATCGATCTGATCGCCAGCGTGCCCGTGCGTAACATCGGCAGCATCGCCGGCAACCTGATGATCAAGCATGCCCACCACGAGTTCCCGTCCGATCTGTTCCTGATGCTAGAGACCGCCGGCACCCAGATACACATCCTCGAGGCACCGGGCGCCAAGAAGAGTATGATGCTGCAGGAGTTTTTGCAGACGGACATGCGTCACAAGATCATCTACAGCGTGGTGTTGCCGGCGCTGTCCGACGATTACGAGTACAGATCCTACAAGATCATGCCCAGAGCCCAGAACGCCCACGCTCACATCAACGCCGGATTCCTCTTCAAACTCGACGGCGGCGGCAAGGTATAACGGAATACATTCTCTCTTGAATTATTCATATACGTCATTAATCACTCATCCGGCGTATTCGTAATATTTCACAAGGTGCTGGAGAAGCCTAACATCATATTCGGCGGCATTAACGAGCATTTTTTGCACGCAAAAAACACGGAGCAACTGCTGGTGGGTAAATCTATCCTCGACAAGCAAGTGCTAAAGACAGCCTTGGAAACGTTGCATAATGAATTGCAACCCGACCATGTGCTGCCGGATTATTCGCCGGAATTTCGTAAGACTCTTGCCGAAGGACTATTCTACAAATTTGTGCTGAGCATCAAGCCGGAGAATATGAATTCAAAACTTCGCAGTGGCGGCTCCATTTTAAAACGAGAGCTCTCTTCAGGTGCGCGCACAAAGTGATCAGATTTTTATATCTTTATTTTTTATTCCTCTGTTCCTCGAAGATTCAAAAATTTGTTTTATTTTACTTTAAAAGCTCTTATACAAAGTCTTGAGATTTTAAATCGAATATTATAATTATTTTGATCACAAAATTAAATACATAGAGAAAAATAATATATTATAAATGAATATGTTATATAATATATTAAAATATAAAGTATATTGTGTAATATAGATTTAAAAAATTTATAAATTATATATTATAATTTATAAATTAAAATATAGATTAAAATACTTTAAAACGATAAAGAAATATGTTCTAGAATGGTTTACTTGTAGAAAATTGTGAGATACCTCGACTGATTAATTGTCTTAATAAAAAAAATCTGATCACTCTAGGTACGCAGGACTATGACACAGACAAAAATGTATGGCCGGTGAGCAAGCCTATGGTAAAGTTGGAGGCGATCCAACAGACGTCGGGCGAGGCTCAGTATTGCAACGATCTACCGCCGTTTCCCGGAGAAGTATTCTGCGCCTTCGTTCTTTCGAAAGTCGGTAATGGTAAGATAGAAAGCATAGACGCGAGCAAGGCGCTTGCTATGAAGGGCGTGGTGGCGTTTTTCAGCGCCAAGGACATACCCGGCAAGAATTTGTGCATCTCGGCCGCCGATCAGCTGATGATGCTGATAAATGACGAAGTGTTGTTTGCCGAAAAAGACGTTATCTATGCCGGTCAGCCGATCGGTGTGATCGCCGCCGAGACGCATAATCTGGCTCACGAAGCCGCACAATTAGTGGAGATCAAATACACCGAGACTCTAAAGAGGAAGCCGGTGATAAGTATCGAAGATGCGCTCGCTTCGAAGGACGATAGCAGATTCATGCAGGGCATCAGCGTTCCAGCGAAAAAGAAAGGTAGAAATTGAGATACTCGAGATAGAAGAAAGAATTAGAATTGAAATTTTCTGAGACCACAATTATTAAAGAAAAAAAAAAAGAAAACTCTCTGCGAATAACTTGAGAAATTTGTATTATCTGCGTTGATGCAAAATCGTATATAAATAGCTGCTGCTAATCATCGAAATGTCGAAATAATGTAATAAAATAGCGGAAATTTGTTTTTAAACCATCCTCGTTTTACAGGAAAGAATGTTAAACAAACGATAAAAGCCGTTTTCCATTGCGGCAGTCAGTACCATTATACCATGGAGACTCAGTCCTGCGTTTGCGTTCCTGCGGAGGATGGTATGGACGTCTATCCAACGTCTCAATGGCTAGATCTCACTCAAGTATCGATTGCGAATTGTCTCGCTGTTAAGAATAATAGGTAATTCATTAATCTCCCGCGACTTTGTTCCGGAAAGAGCATTAATTTAATAGTGATAATGTGATTTACTTAAATTGTGCTTCGAATACGTTCTCATATTTTCCTAAGAAAAATTAATTAATCACTAGAACAATTTAAAATTAAAATTTCGTATTATGAAAAATTCTAATATTAATCTACAGGACAGTAAAGTTAATAAAATTATTCACACTGTAAATATGGGATTAATTAAAATAGAAATGCTTTTCTTTAAAGAAAAGAATTAAAAGAGATTGGCGGGAATACGTTTTGCAAAATTAAATTAGCGTAACAATGGCGTAAATTTAATGTTCGCAGTATCAATGTCCACATCAGACGAATCGGCGGTGGGTACGGAGCAAAAATCTCGCGGAACGCAGTAATCTCGTGTACCTGCGCGTTGGTATGCCACAAACTGAATCGCCCGGCACGATTCATCACATCTCTCGAGAGCAATATGCAATCGCAAGGCAAAAGAATTTCTACGCGCCAAGAATACGAAGTTGGTGTGGATAACGAAGGGGTTATTCAGTATCTCGATTCGAGACATTGGCACAACGCAGGCTGTAACTTCAATGACCCTCACGCTTGGGTCGTAGTGCACCATTTCGAAAGGCATGTATAAAAAATATATATACGAGTATCTATATATGTCTATGTAGTAAAAAGGAATTTTCCGGTAGTATTCCAATGTTAATCGTTCTTTGTACACTTTGTAAATTTTAGAATTTAAATATAAACTTAAGAGCATCTTATTATATTTTTAATTTGAACAATTTTTTTAAACGGAAAATAAGATTGTTTACAAATAAATTAAATTGCTTACTAAATTATTACTTGATCTAGAAACATTACAATTTTACGTAAAATCTACAAGAAAAATAGATATTATTAGAATTTAGATAATATAATTCATTTAATAAAATTAGTTTCATTAAATATCATGAAATAAGTTCTCAATTTTTTTAGAAGATTAAGATAGTTATTTACGATTGAGAAATTAGTTCATCAGATAAATTTATCAGATTAACATTAAAATATCTTACAAGGGGAAGGCCAGGTTAGTGTGTCGGACACTATATCTTTATTTTGCCTCTAGTTTCACCAAAAAAATTGGGATCAAGATTCGTGATACACTAACCTGGCCTTTCCCTTGTTAGTATGTAAATATTTAATGTTTTACTAATCTTATTAATTCTTCAAGTTCGTATGTATTATTCGATTATTTACAGCTGTTACTCGAACGAGTGCTGGACAATCAACGGATTCGAAGTACGAACTGATTTACCATCAAACTCGTATTGTCGTGCGCCAGGATCCACGGAAGGAGTGGCTATGATCGAAAATATAATGGAGCACATTGCGCGAGTGTTGAAGAAGGACCCGCTACAGGTCAAATTGGCGAATATGAACGACGTGGATAAGGCCGCGTTGGAACCCATGATAAAGGGCTTGGCGAAATCGGCTGATTACGAGATGCGGAAACGGGCCGTTGATACGTTCAACAACGAGAATCGCTGGAAGAAAAAGGGCATCGCCCTGGTACCAATGAAATATCCATTCGCGTACTGGGGTCAATTCAACGCTATGGTGTCGATCTGCGCTCGTGACGGCACGGTTTGCGTGACGCACGGTGGGGTCGAATGCGGTCAGGGTATAAATACCAAGGTATACGTTGTAAATTGCAATTTATATCCTAATTTACCTTAATTTCTTAATTTGTCTAATCTATCTAAATTCAAGAACATTTTTTAAAATAAATACGTAAAATTAATAATTTTGTTAAATGTAATTAAATGAGTAAATTAGATTTGAAAATATAGACGTTCGTAATTTCATTTCGAGAATTTGAGATTGAGTTATATAAAAACAATAAATATTCTTTTTAGGTCGCTCAAATAGCAGCTTACACTTTGGGTATTGACGTAAGTTTAGTCAACGTCAAACCAACCAATAATATAGTAACGCCGAACAACGCGGTTACCGGAGGCAGTGTTACGAGCGAGTCTTGTGGATATGTAAGAACTCAGTTTTAATTCGCCTCCGATGCTTTCGGAGGATGACGCGGCGCATAATACTGAATTAAATAATAAAAAAAACGATCGTTGCGTTTATTCCAGGCAACGATTCAAGCTTGCAAAGAACTCTTGAAGAGACTCGAACCGATAAAAAAAGAGATGAAGAACCCAAGCTGGCGGGAGCTCGTTTTTACGGCGTATCTAAAGGATGTTGATTTATGCGCGCGTCATATGTAAGCATTATCGAGTCACATTTAATACGCAGTAATAATACGTTATATCGCGCAAATATTATATGTCCTCTCAAACAGTTTGACGACTTTCCAAAAATATCGTACAGTTTTTCATTCGAAAAAAAGTAGTTATCATACTTTTTGAAAAAAATAGTAGATTGTGATGACTGTGCAACTTAAATATTTCAGTTGAATTTAAATCATTTGAATATTATCAAATTTTCATTTGGTTTTGATAAGTGATTAACTTTGAATTGTATATTTATAGAGCGAGAAGAGATGCGAAAACTCTGTGCTGCATTCCATTATATTGATTCGTTACACTTACCTCTACAGGTACGCGCCCACGCAAGACGATGCGCTCAAGCCTTACGCCATTTACGGTGTCACCATTGCCGAAGTGGAGATCGATCTGTTGACCGGCCAGCACATTATCAAGAGGGTCGACTTAGTGGAAGACGCCGGGATAAGCTTAAATCCGGAGATCGACGTCGGTCAGGTGGAGGGAGCTTTCGTGATGGGGATAGGATACTGGACTTCCGAGGAGCTGGTGTACGATTCTAAAACAGGAGCGTTGACAAATGACAGAACTTGGGTACGTTATTTTCATTGAGTTTCGCGATAAAGCTATATAATAACTTCAAGATGCAATTGCTTCGATTAGACTGATATTAGACAAGAATGATTAAGTTATTTCATGATTAAGTATTCTGTTTTCGTAGAATTATAAACCGCCAGGAGTGAAGGATATTCCTGAGGACTTCCGCGTGTCTTTCCGCAGAAACTCACCTAACACACTCGGTGTTCTTCGATCAAAAGGTGAGACTAGAAACTCTATCAATATACATAATATACACAATATAATAATTGAACACCTTATTAATAAAGAAAAGAAAACTGCATATTTTCTACATGTGCGTGTGCAAGAACTCTCTCTTTGCAAGAATTTCAAAACACGTATGAGATGTGTAATGTGCTTCTTAACATTTAGTATTTAATAATTAATGTTTTAATTAAAATGCGCTGGAGGAAATCAAAAGAATTTTAATATAGTTGTAAGCAATTTAAGAAAATTTATAATTTTTTCTTGCTTATTTACATTAAAATAAAAAGTCAGCCGCAAGTGGCAGCAGAATTGAAAGGATTGAAAAATCGAATGCCTGTTAATAGTAGAAAATTTCTTTGCAGCGACCGGTGAACCACCGCTTTGCATGAGTTATGTAATCCCGCTCGCGTTCCGTTACGCGTTAAATTCCGCTAGAGCGGACGTGGGAAATAAGGAAGCTTGGTACGATTTAGGTAAGTATTAAGAGCATGGCTGTAAACAGTTATATATTCGTATAATATAGAAGGAATCAATTTTGTAACTTGCATTAATTTGTGCATTTTTAACAACAAGAAGCGAATTATTCTTCGCCACTAGATATAAAATTTTTATCTATCTCTCCCCTTTTTTAACTTGTAAATTTTTTTTGTAAAATATCTTATTATAATACATATATTCACTTATTGTTCATGATTTTTGTAGATGCACCATACACCAACGAACGCATACTTCTAAGTAGTTTAACCAACAAGGATAACATGATACTGTGAGAGCAGAAGTGATATTTGCGAATAAATTGATGCTTAAATTAAATCTTATGTTTATTGTCGTTTTTTAGATCACTAGAATAAATTTAGAGATCCTGTACAAAACAATTTACCTTGTTACTTTTCATTGATATAAGCAATGTTAGAGTAATAACGGGACCAGAAAACAATTCAGTTAGTTAATAGATTTTAAGCGTAATTAAGCGTAACAATTTTTTATGGTAAATATTTTTAATAAATATTCTTTACTAAATACCAATGATGTACTACATAAAAAAATACCACAACGATGTCTACAGTGTATAATCAATATTAATAATAATATAATATAAAATATGTAGCAATAATTTAACATAAGTATTTTGCCTCTCTCTCTCCCGAAAAGGTGGCAAGAATGATTATTACTATTTATTATTATACAGAGTGTTAAAAAAAATTCAGCATTTATATGATAAATAGTACACATCATGTGGACTAAAAAAATCTTAGTAAACATATGTAGGTTGAAAGCTAAAGCGTTTCTGCGATATAAACATTTGTAGGGAGCATCATGAATGACTTAATTCTACGTATTGCATGCGATATTTACCTTAATTTTTATATCTCAGAAACGGTTGAGCTTTGACCTATGGTCAATAACATTTTTTTACTCATTATAGTATGTATAACTATCTGCCATCTATATATAAGCTGAATGGTTTTTTTTAACACCCTGTATACGTGCAAATATATACCTGTCGACATTCTTTGCGTTATTTAATTGCATTTGAAGCGCAGAAAAGGAGACAAAAGAATGGAATGGAACGAGATTGAAGCATGCTAGAAGTTTGATGTTCGCAAAATTAATTAACGTGTAAAGTGCGCCGAATTGTTTTTGTCGCAAAATAAAAAGCTTCTCGCAATAAAATTCCTCCCATACCATGCGCGCCACTCTTGTAACATTCCATTCGTTGGAAATAACGTTATTTACATTATCTACGTCGCGCTTCACGCGAAAAGAAAACATACCAGAAATAACTTCTAATTTTTCCATGAAATTTTTTACATAGTAATTTTATGTAAAATAATTTTAATGTAAGGTAATTAAGTGTTTTTGGAAACATCAAATTATTATTTCACGCCTACTTGAAAACCTCTGTCTCTTTAAAGTACTTTAGTTTCTAAATAATTTAAAAATTTGACTATTCTCGTATTTCAAAAATTGATAAATAAATCGGATACGCTCTATCGTTATTTTCAACTTCCTATTCCGAACCGAAATGAACTATTAAGATTAAAATTGTTGAATTTTAAAAACGTAATATGGTATTTTTTATTATACAGATTCTGATTGCATGCAAAAAAATAAAAAATTTTTGTCTCAAACGTTTTTTTCAAAACATCAATAGTTGAAACTTTTTAGAATATTTTATACTTTATTCTGGCACACTTTATCATAAAATATAAAATATCTTGTAAACTATTTCTTTTTGGTAATTTATATTTATATATATATTTTTTTTATGCACAGAATAATAAAATAAATTAATTGTAAAGAAAATACATATGTATAATTGTTTTGTTAAAAAGATATGTATAACTGTATATCGCGAATCACACATATAATTTTTTTAAAAACCAGCATCCCTTATTTTAACAGGCGAATAAACTGGTGTTTAAATTAAATCTTATACTTATTATCGTTTGTTTTTTGATAGCTTCTTAATTAAAATAAATTTAGGGATCCTATGCGAAATAATTTACTTAGCCACTTTTCGTTGATACAAGAAATTAATTGGAGTAATAACGGGACCAGAGGACAATTTAATTAGTTAATAGATTGTAAGTGTAATTAAGATAATTTCTTATGGTAAATATTTTGCATAAAGTAGAAACTAGAGAATATAATAAAACGAGCAATCAAAGATGTTTTAATATAATTATATTCGATAAAATTAAAGCGGCGATAAAATAATTTTTCATAAATATATATTTCTTACTTAACTGAAGTACTATCATAAAAAAATATCACAACAATATCTGTAATGTATAATTGGTATTAATAATAATATAATGTCAAATATAAAAATATAAAATATATCGAATGTTATAAGCAATTTCTATAACAACCGCGCCAATGTCGCAACTAATGCCTTAAGCGACAGAATGACGCAAGATGAACCTAATTAAAATACAAATGCAGGATCGGCTTATATCGGCCGTTTTCAAAATTCGTCAGAGTTGCAATTATTGCTCATGGAGCATACGGTCAATCTCCAATTGAATTGTCGTGTTATTATTTATTATTATTTATTTCGTACATGTCAATTTTTTCTTATGTTTCAAAACATCATTCAGACTATTTATATTTTTAATTTTTATTACAATAAAGGCCTATGAAAGCTAACACGGATGTCGGTGTGTAATAGATTTTTTTTACTTTTTTTTATAATATCCAGCCACACGCGACGAATTGCGTATAATCGTCGGACTTGAAACACAACTTATTGCATGAGACCTAGAGAACTCATGTGAGTAATATTTTATTTTTAATTTCTGTTAAGATAAGTCTTCCTATATTTAGCATGATAAAAGCACAATTTTCTTACGATAAGTTCAATGTCATTGGAAACACGTGCAAATATAATAGTCAGTTCATTTTTTTTAAGGAGTTCTTTTAAAATGTTTTTTGCTTATAAAATAAAATTGCTTAAATTATTTATTTAAAATTGTCACACATCTTTTATTTATTTTTTGTTAATTAAGGCTACGTTTCTAGAGTATACATATAGTAAAAGAATAAGATTATTAAGCAAAAAATATGCAATGGTTAAGTGTATCTTTGACTTTAAAACAAAATAATTTTTTAATAGAATTTCGGATTTATGAATCTGTTTTAACCATAAAATATCTAATACTAAATTATAACTATACTATTTTTATAGTTACGCTTACAGTGATGTTAAACAATATTTGTAATAATTATTTTACGTAAAAAGTGGGAAAAAGATATATTCCAACATAAAAATACTCTTTGAAAAAAAAGTTACACACCGGTACAGACCTGTATGCGTAACTTTGTTAATAATCAATATTTAAATTAAAAATTTAACAATAATATTCATTGAAGTGTTATTTAATTGATTCTAGATTCTAAAGTTATATGAAATATCATAAATAGCTCAATAATGCCTTTGCGACCCGACACGAATGTTGGTGTGTAATAATTTATATTACACGTAATATGAACTAGATAGATTAACAGTAAAGCTATAATCAATTTATCAAACAATAACTTATGTATTTTGATACGAAAAACTTCGAAAGGTTGTATTATCACCGCGCGGATACATATTGCAAAATGCTATACTGTTTAACTTTGCGTAACTCGAAATGTGTGTAGTGAAAGAAAATACTGATTGACAAAAAACTCACGTGTATTCGTGTGATAATACGTTCGTAAATTACGTAAAAAATAATGTGTGATGAAAATATAATTGTGTGAAAATGTATTTGAAAATGTTTCGAAATGTTCGCAATTAAAAATGCATTCATTGATATAATGAATGCCGGCTATTGTGAATTGGCATATTAGCGCTATTATGTAAAAACAAATTGTTAACAAATAATTCCATTAACAATATCATTAAAATTAAGCCATCTAATAGCGGAGATATTAAAAGAGGCCATTCTATACTTATAAGAGCCATAACACCACTTTCTCCTCTACTTGCAATAGAAAAATACGTGCAGCATATATTTAAGAAGACATTTTAAGAAGCTAGAAAGCGTAACGAAGATAAGAGATTTAAAAATGAATGTAAAGTGAGAGGAGATATTTATATTAAAAAAAAGCGAATAAATTCTATTTAAACTTCGATTAGTTCGCAAAAGATTATCAACAGTGTAAGTGGTTTATAGAGATCGATCGAGCTTATCGTACACGCAGTGAGTCCAATTCAATATCACAAAAAGCATCATAGTATTTAATTATAACACGATAAAATTAGACATAAAATTATTTGTTTCAATGTTGTATGAAAATACGACAAATTCGAAAAAGATAAAAAAATACTTTCCTCTTTATTGACTAACTTAATCTTTACGGCTTCAAAAAATTTTTTTACGATTTTTTATTCTAAAAATTATTCTAAAAATTATTTCGTTCTTTGTATAACTGTATATGTGTATTTACATATTCAAATAAATGTAAGCGCGTTTATGTGATGACGTTAACTTCAAAGATATGAGGAAGAATTGCCTACAGTTCAACAATTATTTGACATGCCACATTGTATTGCCTTTGTACATACTTCTTATTGCGCAATTATACAGGGTCCGCCAAAAGTTCGGAGCCACCTAAATAATTTCTGAATGGTTCGAGATATTGAATTGAAATTTGTAGAGTTACAATGGCAAAATGTAATCTATCATTTCATCCACTTCAACTTTTCGAGGAGAGCAGAAAGGGAGGGGGGTTGAAAATCTTAAATGGCATGTGGAATCGAGTGACGGCTCGTTTGAAAGGGCTTTTCAAGACGAGAAAAACGCGAGGTCGTTGAGGTCTTTCCGATTTTTTTCGCAGAGTTCAAGCAAGGCCCACGGCGAGGACGTGAGGAAAATAAGGCTTCGTGCATGTTCCTCACACAACACACGCTTTGCCACATGCATTACCGTCCACTCAAGAACATGCGCAAAGCCTTATCTTCCTTACGTCTTCGCCGTGGGCCTCACTAGTGCCAAAAAATACCAATATTCAAATGAGCATAACTTTGCGAAAAAAAATCGTAGAGACCTCAACGATCTCGCGTTTTTCTCATCTCGAAAAACCCTTTCAAACGAGCCCTTAAGATTTTCAATCCTCCGCCCTCCTTGGAAGGTTGAAGTGGGTGTTTTCAAGATGAAATAATAGATTATATTTTGCTAATCTTACAAATTTCATTCCAATATCTCGAACCGTTCAGAAATTATTTAGGTGGCTCCGAACTTTTGGCGGACTCTGTGTATGAAGCAACGAGATAATTGAGGAATTATATATATCAGTTAATTATCCTAATTTCATGTCGACATCCTTCAAAGGCACTTCTATCTGTATGAAAACTAAGTACAAAAATAACGTATATAAATAGATGGTATATCACCAGTGCAAGTGTCAGTACGATATCCTTCACAAAGGCACTTCTACTTGTACTGAAAACTAAGTACAAATATAACGTATCTAAATAGGCGATATATCCCAGTGCAAAAATCAGCACGACTAACGAACGATAATGCAGCCGAGTGCAACAGTGTAAGTCTTTAACATCACTATAAGAATTAATAAAATTATTATATTATAATATAAGGCGTGATAATCAACTTGCACAAAGTTTCGTTATGAATTTAGGAGTTTGATAACTTATCTAATTGAAAGTGAACATTCCTTATCCATTCATTTGTATAAAAGAATTTTTTAATGTCTAATTTACGTTCAATTGATAATGTTAGAATGCCCAAATTTAATTTATGTTCAGATCCAGACATAGAAAAGACTGTATTAACTTTACGATTAATGAAGTCCCGCATACTGGTATGTATTCTTTATATATAACACAATGTGACAAAAAAAGTATTTTCTTTTTCTAATAATACGTTTCCCAAAGATTTTTTTCGCGCTGAACATGATGCCGTTGGCAAAATTTGCCTAGCACGTTAGAATTTTGAATAAATTAGAATGAAAAGGGCTAAAAATTGTGTTTTTAGCCACATTTAACATTTTTTTGCGTTAGAAGCTATAAAATTTATCAAAAATAAAAATTATAATATTTGATTATAAAACTTCAATTATAAGTTATAAAATTTATATTATAAAAGTTTAATTATGGTAAACTTTAGAAATAAAAGGTATATGTATATTTTAATATCTAGAAAAAATAGTATATTCATATTAAGTATATAGAGAGAGTTATAACTTTTACATCAATTGTATGTTATTATGCAAAATCGCTTCCAGTATCAGGATGTATACCGTCTGGTACATCACTCAACGTATATATCCGCGATTATGCGAAACTCCGTGGCACAAAAGCAATGTGCCACGAGGGTGGCTGCGGCGCCTGTATCGTGGCTGCGGAAATCAAGGGCGAGACAATGGCCGTGAATTCCTGTCTCGTACCGATACTAATCTGCGACGGGTATGTGTGTATTAACAGAGAAATTACACAATCGAATTTCATTTCTAAAAAAATAATGAGAATTTGTCTTATATAGCATTAGAAATCTTTCACATCAGAAATAGAAGCTTTAAAACTTTTATATACATGCTTAACTTTTTCCGAACTTTTATTGAATTTCTGTTAATGTTTCACACATTTATCAAATAATGTCGCAGATGGAATATTCGCACAATTGAAGGTATAGGTAACATACTAGATGGTTATCATACGATTCAAGCTACGCTTGCTGAGAAAAATGGGTCGCAATGCGGATATTGTTCTTCCGGCATGGTGATGAATTTATATGGGTACGCATTCGGCAAAGCAATTAATTGATTTATAAAGAAATATTAAAAATTTTGAACGTATCCAATCTTTTCGCAACAAATTAAATCTCTATGAATTCTTTTGACGTTATAAAATCGTATACGACATCACTATGATATACATATATTAGCTGAAGTAAAGCACAATCAAGCATAAATTTGAATATCGCATTCGTATTCAGAAGCGTTCAAAACTACGGTAATGCATTTACAATTTGCAGTCTCATACATGACAAGAAGTTATCTATGCAGCAAATCGAAAATTCGTTTGGTAGCAACATATGTCGATGTACTGGGTACCGTCCCATTTTAAATGCATTCAAAGGATTTGCCGACGATGCGTCCCCGTCAGCGATGAAAGACATTCGTGACATTGAGGTACTATAAAAAGTTTCATTTTCCTTTCGCACGATTTTTATTCCGATTTCAGAATTTTATCTACAACATTTTACTTTGTTTTCAGAAAGAAAATTTTATTTTGTTATTATAAATTGTTTATTGTCATTCAATATCATTTATCTGTTACTTATTATGTATAAGAATTCTTTTTATATCATTCAAAAATTAAAAGGGTAAAAAATGTAAGAATTAATTTACATAATTTATGTTGTAACTGGAATAAAATACTCTTTGCAGGAGCTCTACAAGATCAAAGAATGTCCGAAATATAAAATACCATGTACAAGTAGTTGTTTCGATAATCAATTTTTCCATAGAAACGAAACATTGAATATAAAGTTAGCGGATGCGGAATTCAACAAAGTTTACTCAATCGATGATCTATTCGCGATATTTCGTCAAAAACCGAACGCTACATATATACTAAATGGAGGAAATACTGCGCATGGTAATTTTCTTCTATTTAACATGAAGCAATAATTAACAGCAAATTGGTTTATAGAATTACGAAAACGTATAATAATCGTTGTTTACCTAAATAATTTAATTTTCCTTCACTTATAAATTAAATATATAAACTAATTACTAAAAATGAATGCACAATGTTTATAATAATTATTCTTTATTTCTTGAATAGACTTATTAAAATTCCCAAGTATCTGAATATTATTTTTTTATTATATTTTTTAAGAATTTAAATTTTTAAGTTATATCGAGTTTTCTTTAATTTAAATAAATACGTTTTTATCCAAATAAATTCTTCCTTAAAAAGGCAAGATTAATATTAAAATGGAAACGGATTGTTACATTTTCAACATTTAAATAAAATGCTCATAAATAGATTTCACTTCAGTTACATTTATTTTTTAGTAATGATTTTGTAATACCACGACCCTGTAATATCTTTACTAGGGTTTTAATGAAGTAAAAATCTAAAACACTTTAATAATTTTGCATCACAATTCTTACGATGAAACAAAATTTAAAGAAATAAAACCTAGCATGCACAAAATTGAAAATCTAATTTTGCAGGTGTTTTTCGTTCGAGCAAGAAAGATCTTTACATTGATATAAATGACATACCAGACTTGCGTCACATCGAAAAAACCAACGAATACTTGGTCCTAGGCGGAAATGCAACCCTGACCATGGCGCTAGAGGCCTTCCAGAAGTATTCATCCGAAACCAGATTTAAATATCTACGTCATTTGGCCCGTCATGTAGATTTGGTCGCACACGTGCCCGTGCGAAACATTGCCAGCATCGCCGGCAACCTGATGATTAAGCACATGCACAACGAATTCCCATCTGATATATTTTTGATATTAGAGACCGCCGGCGCTCATGTACACGTCCTCGAGAGTCCCGATCGAAAGCAGAGTTTGTCACTGTTGGAATTTCAGAAGATCGATATGCGCCACAAAATTATCTATAGCGTTGTGTTGCCACCTCTATCTAACGAGTACACATACAGATCCTACAAGATCATGCCCAGAGCCCAGAATGCCCACGCTCACGTCAATGCAGGCTTCCTCTTCAGGCTCTCTTCTAAAGGCACGGTAACGGAAGTGTTTATAGATTTGTTTATATTATTACACTATCGATAATTTGTTAAATTATATATATTCCAAATTTTTTGCAAAAAGGTGATGGAAAGGCCCAACATTATCTTTGGAGGGATCAACAAGAATTTTTATCATGCATCTAATACGGAGCAACTGCTGGTGGGTAAGTCTATCCTCGACAATCAAGTGCTGAGGACTGCTTTGAGGACGTTGCACGACGAAGTACAACCCGACCATGTGCTACCGGACTATTCACCGGAATTTCGAAAGACTCTCGCCGAGGGATTATTTTATAAGTTTGTGTTGAGCATCAAACCGGAAAATATAGATTCCAAACTCCGTAGCGGAGGCTTGTTATTAGAACGAGGTCTCTCTTCAGGTACATGCAGTATTTTATTCAGCAGATAGAGAATTTTATTCAGCAGATTGTTGGAATTATATCTTTATCTTTATTTTTCAGTATTTTTATATATTAAAAATTAAATTTCACTTAACTTTGGTTTGCTATATTTACGATATAAACTAACAATTCAGAAATTTAACGATATTATTTAGTTTACATGTCTCTCACGCAAATCTGAAGAAATTTTAAATAAGTCAAAAATCTTACTATTAACTTATTGCTAGTAAATCTTAGTATTACAAAAATAAAGAATTATAGGTGTTCTAGATTGTTCGAATTGTGCATACGAAAAAGTACGATTATCTTACAGGTAAGCAGGATTACGACACAGACAAGAACGAGTGGCCGGTGAATAAGCCCATGACGAAGTTAGATGCCATTAAACAGACATCGGGCGAGGCTCAGTATTGCAACGATCTGCCTCCATATCCCAAAGAAGTGTTTTGCGCTTTCGTCCTCACGGAAGTCGGTAACGGCAAGATCGACAGTATAGATGCGAAAGAGGCGCTTGCCATGAAGGGCGTGGTGGCGTTCTTCAGCGCCAAGGACATACCCGGCAAGAATTTGTGCATCTCAGCCGACAGCAAGTTGAATTTGTTACTGAACGACGAGTTGCTGTTCGTTGAAAGGGATGTTCAATATGCCGGCCAGCCAGTTGGAGTAATCGTCGCAGAGACGCATAATTTAGCGAATGAAGCCGCGAAATTGGTGAAAATTAAGTATAGTGAAATTCTAAAGAGAAAGCCAGTGATAACCATTGAGGATGCGCTCGCTACGCATGACGATACCAGATTCCTGCATACCAGAAACGTTCCAGCAAAAAAGAAAGGTGGAAATTGATTCTAGATGATTGGATATTTTAAAAAATGACGCATTAAAGTATACGGATTGTTTTTCATTATTTTACAGGAGAAAATACGAAACACGTAATAAAGGGCGTTTTTCAATGTGCCAGCCAGTATCATTACACCATGGAGACTCAGTCCTGCGTATGCATTCCCGTGGAAGATGGTATAGATGTCTATTCATCGACACAATGGATGGATATGATTCAAGTATCGATTGCGAATTGTCTCGGTGTTAAGAATAATAGGTAACTTATTCTAATCTGACCATGTCTTTGTCTCAGAAAGAATATCATTGATTTAAAAGTGATTTATACAAATTGTATCGGAATATAGAATTTAAACAATTACATAGAATATGTGCTTGCATTCTCTTGAAAAAAAAATTAAACTATGATAATTTATATTAAATTTCATATGCCTATCAAAAATTCAATATTAATTTGTAAGAATACTGTGTACATGAAATTAACAAAATAGATTATCAAATGTAAAAAATAGGAATAAATTAAAGAAGGCATGTTCTATCTTACCTGGAAATTAATTAAAGTAGATCAAAAATATGTTTTGTAAAATTAAATTAGCGTAATAATTATGTGAATTTAATTTTTGTAGTATTAATGTCTACGTGAGACGACTTGGCGGTGCATACGGAGCGAAAGTGACTCGCAATGTTCAAATTTCGTGTGCCTGCGCGCTGGCATGTCACAAACTAAATCGTCCAGCGCGATTCGTCATGACAATAGAGAGCAATATGCAATCGCAGGGCAAACGATTACCTGCGCGCCAAGAATATGAGATCGGGGTGGATGACGATGGAGTTATTCAGTATCTTGACTCGAAACACTGGGCCAACAGTGGCTGTAATTTCAATGACGCCCAAAGTTTTATAACGGTTGAGGCCATACAAAAGTACGTACATATCAAGCATACAGTATGTAATATAAATAAATAAAAAAGGATAGCATTTTTTGTAGTAATAATAAATATTACTGTAATATTAATCCTTGTCTGTTTCTGCACACATATAAAAAAAAAGAAAAATTTTTAATTTTCTTTTTAAATATTTCATTTTAATCTATTTTAACATTATTTACTTCTTGAAAAAAAGATTTTTCTGGAAGATATTACTTATAAAGTAAGTTAAATGTTTTAATAAATTTTTATCAAAATTTTGCATAAGTAAGTTAACAATAAAGAATAAATATTACAATATTAATATTAATATTAATATAATTACGTTAATTAAATTTAATAGATAATTTTCTAAAATTGTGTGTATGAATTAGAGAAAATTTTCGAAAAAGTAAAGATAATCTTTTTGGAAATTTTTGGAAAAAGTAAAGATAATCTTTTGCAATTGAGAAACAGATTTGGATAAGAAAATCATGTCTTTACTTTATGTTTATTTTAATGGCATTTTTGGTTTTTAATTAGTTTATATTTTGTTTTTAATTAGCGGCTGTTATGCAACCGATAATTGGACGTTGAACGCATTCGAGGTGTTAACTGATACACCGTCAAACACATTTTGTCGGGCGCCAGCATCTACAGAAGCAATGGCCATGCTCGAGAATATAATGGAGCATATAGCGAGAGTGGTGAAAAAGGATCCGGTACAGGTCAGATTGTCGAATATGAAGGATGTGGATAGAACCGTATTAGAAACCATGATAAAGGATGTGTCGAAATCGGCCGATTACGAGATGCGGAAACAGGCCGTTGAAACGTTCAACAAACAGAATCGTTGGAAAAAAAAAGGAATTGCCTTAGTGACGATGAGATTTACATTTAAATTTGTTGGATCATACGACGCCATGGTGTCGGTCTGCGCTCGCGACGGTACGGTTTGCGTAACGCACGGTGGGATAGAATGCGGCCAAGGTATAAATACAAAGGTATGATGTTGCAGATTATTATCAAAGTTATTTAAATATTCTAAATATCCTATTGTTGTGGACGAGATAAACACTTTTCAATAAATAGAGAAATTTGCTAAAGAAATACCGTTCCAATAGTTGAGTGTCTAGTTTAGAAAATCCAGATTGAAGGTTTAAGAATAAAATTTAAGAATTATCTTTACCGATTTCTATTTTAAAGAAATATGATGGGATGTGAGACTTTTTATAAATTTACTTATATATTATATATTAAAAAAACCAATTTAGTATATCTTAATCCAAAGTCATTCTTTTAATGCTAGATTTAATTTTCTCAAAAATTCAATTTGATTTTCTCAAAAAGTATAATAATAAATAATATTAAAAATAAATAAATAGTAAAAATATTAAGTAACAAAATATTTATAATGTTATTTCAAGAGAATTTCTATTATATAAATTAAATATATTGATTAATTATTTATTATATTTTCCTATTCATATCAAAATATTTGTTTTAGATCGCTCAAGTGGCTGCTTATACATTGGGAATCGATCTAGAATTAATTTCTGTCAAACCAAGCAATAATTTAATAACACCTAACAACGTAATGACTGCAAACAGTATGGCTAGCGATAGCTGCACATACGTAAGAAATTATATCATTAAAAACACTTATTTACTTATTTGTTTATAAAATGTAAATGCATACATAACACTGCACATTATAAGTTAAGAATATTTTGATTCGAATCATTGCGGCTAAGGATTGTAATTTTGATTATTACATTTATCCTAGGCAACGATCCAAGCTTGCAAGAAGATTCTGACGAGACTCGAGCCGATAAAAAATGAAATGAATAATCCGAGCTGGCAAGAGCTCGTTTTCACGGCATATCAGAAGGATGTTGATTTATGCGCGCGTCATATGTAAATATCGTTGTAAATCATTGTGCATCACAAATAACTAAACATCATATCGCACAAGCATCCCGACTATATCATCTTGACGTTTCTTTCCCGTAAAATGGATATTATAGTGCGGAATATTTATACAAAATAAATTATTTTCTGTTTTAATAACACGTAGATTGTAATATTTGTAGTTTAAATATTGCGTTCGCACTTCTCGCAATTAAATGTGAATAATAATATTGTCATCATTATGCTTTCAATTTTGATTAAATAACTGTAAATTCCATATTTAAAAGACGAGCAAAGTTGCGACAGTTTTGTGTTCTTATTCAGTAAATAATGTCTATTCACATTACACTTACCCCGGTAGGTTTGCAGCATCACAAGACGATACGATCAGGCCTTACGGCATTTACGGTGTCACCATCGCTGAGGTAGAGATCGATGTGTTGACCGGTCAGCACATCATCAGAAGAGTCGATTTAATGGAAGACGCCGGTATAAGCTTGAATCCGGAGATCGACGTCGGTCAGGTGGAGGGAGCTTTCGTGATGGGAATAGGATACTGGACTTCTGAGGATCTGATATACGATCCTAAAACAGGAATATTAACAAATGACAGAACTTGGGTACATTATTTTTATAAAATTTCAGTAAAGCTAATATTGCCAGGATGCGCAATTGCAATTGTAGGTCTAGTCCTAGGAGAATATATAATTAAATTATCTAAAATATTCTATTCTTCTTCTTCTGTAGAACTATAAGCCGCCAGGAGCAAAAGATATTCCCGAAGACTTCCGCGTATCCTTACTTAAGAATTCGGTCAACACGTTGGGCGTTCTTCGTTCAAAATGTGAGATCAGAAACTCAGAATTCTTTTGTTCTCGACTCTCCATAATCAAAAACTTGAATATAAGGTCCACATGTTTGCACACAATTAAGGAACATTTAGAAATTCTTTTGCAAGAATTTGCAAATATAAAAATACAATGAATTTACAATATTGACTAGAATTCCATTAATTTTTGGATTTTTTATAACTAGATAAACAAAATTAAAAGAAATTTAACAAAAGTAGAAATGAATTCGTCTAATGTACAGGGTGTTGCATTTACATATTTGGCAATACGACGGGTTGCGCGACAGATTTCGCAGGGGCAGGCACGACTCAATTGATAACGATAGTATACATATGTATATGGTATGGATGGTATACATATGTATATCATCGTTACCTATTGAGCCGTACCTGCCCCTGCGAAATCTATTGCGCAACCCATCGTACTACCAAATATGTAAATGCAACACCCTGTACAGAGATACCAGAATTGTGTGAAAATGTTAAAGACTCGATTGCCGATTAATCGTGAAAATTTCCTTGCAGCAACCGGTGAACCATCGCTTTGTATGAGTTACGTAATTCTGATAGCGATTCGCAACGCGTTGAACTCCGCCAGGGCGGATGCAGGGAATACGGATGAGTGGTATCGATTGGGTAAGTTTTAAGTAGGTTTATGCAAAGTATACTCGTATCCTTAACAATTCAACTTATTCAATATATAACACGAATCATATAACTTTATTATCTAAATTTCTACAATTCTTGCAACAAGAGCGCAAAATGTTTAATTGCACATCAGTGTGACGCCTATACATTAGAAAAACTTTTTTTTAAGTTTTACAATTCGACTTTTTCTCTCTTTCTTTTGCGTGTGTGAAGTTAGCACCTCAACAATAACATTCCATAGTTAAATTTAAATTAAAAATTGTTTAGAATCCTCAGTATAAACTATAGAGAACTCTTTGTCTCTTCAAAATGAAGCCGGAACTCTAATCAGAAACTATGGAATTTTATTATTGGGATGCTAACTTCGCGCACGCCTTTCTTTCCCCTTTAAAAACAAATAAGAGAGGCAATGATTTCAAGAAAATCCTTGCTGGATTTTATAATCTTTTTTAATCGTTTTTAACTAATAAACATTACGCTATTTAGAGTTTTATTTTTTACTTTTTACAAAAAAAATAAATATATGTATAAATCAATTACGTAACCATGATAACCTGGCATTTGTGAGCTATCAAAATACGATTCCTACTTTGTGCTGATTAGTTATTTATGCAGTAAAAAGTGAGCAAAACAAAAAACCAATCAGTATTACGAAAGCATTGCTAAAATTAGATGACTAATTTATTCTTATTTTTATCCATTTCTAGTAAAATATTTAAAAATATGTTATTTTAAAACTTAAATCATAGACTAAGATGTGCGTGTGTGTGTGTGTGTGTGTATCTGTGATAATTTTAAAGTCCTCTAAAATTTTTTCCTTATAAATTAGTGCATATATACAAATTTTCTTACAAAAACTATTATTATAATATATATTTCGTATAATATGTAATTCGTAATGTTTGTAGATGGACCGTGTACCACCGAACGTATCCTTCTAACCAGTTTATCCTGCAAAGATAACATGGTGCTTTGAGAGTGAAGGTGAGAATTTGTTCATGAATAAACCATTGCTTGAAATAAATTCTATAATTATCATCTTTGTCTTTTTAGCTGTTGTCTAACCGGCAGAAAAGATATATCTGTAATATCCCTTCTTGGCTTGTATGTGCTTAAGTGAATACATTTATTCCCATTTCATTCAATATATCTATTATATGTAATTATGATATGTTATAATATATAATATAATATACAGTTATGTTAATATAATATACAGTGCATCGTAAATACAAATTCGTAATACTTATCTTTCTCGAGAAAATCCACAGAAACGATTATTATCGTACCTACGTAAATATTAAAGATCGACTTTGTTTGAGATATTTCCATTTAAAATGTAAATGAGAAAAGAAGTAATAAAACGGGACAAACGGGGATTGTAGCATACGAATAGATTAATTTGCAAAATGAGCTGACACATGCTATTGCAAACACGTGTGCGCAAAATGCAGAAAAAATGCAATGTATTTTTCCACGGCGCCGCCCATATGCTATTCTGATATATGTCATTTCGTTCGCAAAATAATCCTATTTACGATATTCACGCTACGTAAGAAGTGAATATTTTAAATTATACTTTCTATTACTCATAATGAAATATACTTGCAATAGAAATTAGAAATTAGAAATACATGAAGAATATTTAGAAAAAGATTAAGTAACAGAAGTAGCAGATATTACATTGTTCAGAGATAAAGAGAAGGGAGAGGAGACGTTGATGTATATCAAAAAAAGTGAATAACTTCGCAGTTCTCGTTCAGTTCACCAAAGGCTATCAACTGAGAAGGACATTAATAAAAATCGAAACCGACATTGAGAAAACCATTGCACGTATACAGAGTAAGTCCAACTGAAAGAGAATATTTAAAAGAAAGCAGTCATTTTATTGCATGTATATCCGCGTCTTAAGCTTTGGCCTCGAATTATAGTTATGTATTGATGAGTCAACCAAGTTGATTTTGTTTGTTTATTCAGAATAAATTTTAACTTCTCGCGCACTAAACGGTA